AGATGTAGTGGCCGATTCAAATCCAGTAGTGGTAGAGGTAGTAAAAGTATAAGCAGTAATCCGAAAGATTACGGTTTGAAGATGTTATTCAAGAAGTATAATCTAGTGAAATAAATTTGGAAAGAGAAAACAGAAAGGGACATGAAGAATTCAGAAGATTAGAATTTGAGAGAACACAAAGAGTGGATGCACCTGCGCCATTGCAAACGATTTTGAGCCATGTCATTCAGAGTCTCTAACCATCGGTTGCTGTCATCTCGCCGTCTCCAACCAGGTAGTCTCTACCTACCAACATGACTCAGTCCACTTGTCAGTGACTTCATGGACTTGTGCCATGTTTTGGTCTGGCCTCCCCTAGCTTTCCTCCAATCTACTCCTATACAACAAAACATCGCATATCGAGGCAGTCGGTGGTTGGGCATACGTAACACGTGTCTCAGCCATCTCAACTGATGAAGTTTCACTACGTCATCAATTGATTTGCCATCCTTACCTAGTACCTGTTTCCTATCAACTGCGTTACTTACTCGATGGTCCCAGGATATATGAGCAATAGTTCGAAGACACCTATGGTCAAATACTAGTAACCTACAGATATCCTCTACTCTTACCGGCAATGCTTCACTGCCATAAAGTAGGACGGAACAAACTGCTGCGCAGTAAACCCGTACTTTGGTTGATAGACGGATATCTCACCTACACCATAAATGACGCAAGTTAGCAAAAGCTAGTCGAGCCTTCTGTATCCGTTCTGAGACTTCGTCACACACCAGACCACAAGGTCTGATGAGACTTCCAAAATAAGTGAAGCAGTCGACACACTCGACTACTTCACTCCCTATCATTAGTTCGGGTGTCAATGCAACCCAATCCTGAAGCAACATTTTGCATTTCGAGGGGAAGAATCGCATCCCAAACATGCTTGCATTGTTGCTTAGAGTGGTCAGAAGACTCTGCATTTTGTCAGCGTCTTCACCAAATAAAACTATGTCATCAGCATATTCTAAGTCAACAAGTGAACCTCCCGGTAGAAGTTCAAACCCTGGAAATCTAGACGAGGAAAATATTATCTCTAAAAGTACGTCAATGACAAAGTTGAACGGAGAGAGTGGACAGCCCTGACGAACACTACTTGAGGTAATCAATTCTGATGACAGTTCGCCGTAAGCTCTCACTCGACCAGTTGTGTTTGAGTAGATAGCCTTTATAAGGTTAATGTACTTCTTTGGTACTCTTTTCAGTGCCAAACACTGCCATAGAACCTTACAGTCAACAGAGTCGAATGCCGCCTTAAGGTCGAGAAATACTACGATTGTGGGGCGTCTGAACGTGTGTCTGTGTTCTAGAACCTGACGTAGTGTGAATATCTGATCTATACAACCACGTCCAGGTCGAAAACCAGCCTGATTTTCTCTAATTTGTTCCTCATGAGCTTTGGTTAGGCGTCGAAGTATTATTGAAGCTAATATTTTAGACACTATATTTGTCAAACTGATTCTTCTGTGATTGTCACAAGAGGACATTTGTCCTTTCTTATAGACTGGCACAATCAGTGATTGAGACCAGTCAGATGAGATTACGTCCAGTTCCCAAATTCTACCTAAGACCTCAGTTAATCTCACTGATAATACTGAACCACCATCCTTAAAAACCTCAGGAGTAAACCTGTCAGGGCCTGCTGCTCTCCCTCGCTTCAGATTTCCTATGGCTTTTTTCAGCTTCGTGAAGAGACGGAGGACCTACATTAACTTGTCATTCAGGTTGACTGGAGATTGTGGGAAACCGAAGTGTGGCTGAAGGCCAGTTGAACTGATCCCTAAAGTGTTCTGCCCATCGATCCAATCTCCTGGATTGAGAATGTATAAAATGTCCATCTTTCTCTGAGATTGTTTCGCTAACAGTCGGGTTCCTAATAACGGTTTCCTTAACAAGTCTGAACAATTGTCTGCTATTACCTATTGCCGCTGCCTTTTCCATCTCTCTTGCTTTCGCTACCCACCACGGTTCACGATCATTGCGTAGACTACTTGTAAGCTTGCGCTTAAGCTGACTCCGCTTTTCATTATGTTCAGAGCCAGGTGGGATGAGTTTCCGAGCATCTATCAGTGCGATAGATGCTGCTGAGATCCAGTGTTGCTCTCTAACCTTATGGTTTACCTTACTAGCAGATATCACTGCTGTTTTCATAGCTTTTCGGATATCATTCCATGCTGCCTCATGGTGGGCATCACATATATGGCTGCCGAACTGTTTTCCTAGTTGTTCCTGAAATATATTCTTAGCTTGACTATCATTAAGTAGGCCCCTAAGAGGTTTACTTGCAGCGTCTTTCCTACGTCCAGTAAGACGCAGACAGACACGCGCTCGTACTAGAGCATGATATGAATCTAAGCATGTGCTCCAGAATGAGTGACAGTCTTCTATCGAACCCCTCCATCGGTGGCTTATAGCGATGTGATCTTTTGGGTCCATCGTTGGGACGAATTTGGGGGTCGCCATGTCAAAAGATGTTTTTCTTTAAGCTTAAAGTTAGTACTTGCAAGGAACAGGGGGTTATCTGAGCATAGCTGCAACAGATGGTCGCCATTGTGTTCTTTGAGCCACGATGCTATAAATTCCACCTATATGTCTTTCCCTATCGCTTAGTTTACCTACTTGTCGGACAGCGCACAGACGACTGTCTACTGGGATCCAGTCTAAGAGAGCTAGTTCTGCCCTAGGACTCAATGCTATACCTACGCCGGCGAGGCCACGGGAAGCAGAATCTGGGCTTCCAGATACACGAAGTGTGAATCGAGTCGGTTCTTAATTTTGGCATGGTGAGGTCAAATGAATGACGCTACTCGGATCCTGTATGCGCGTTTCGGAGATGCAGCACACATCGGTGGTGCGGGATTCTAAAGTCTTAGCTAAGGAAGTTTGCTGTCCTATTTGGCACAGTGTTCGGACGTTAAAAACTCCTACGTGTAGTTTAGAGCGTGGTTTCAGGAGATCAGGAATAACGTTCCGCGTACTCGAATCGTTTGCCCTAGCGGTGCGAGGTGATAAAGAGACGTGAAGAGGGCTAGTCATGGAGATAAAAGAGGTATTAGGAGGTGTAGGAAGGATTTGAATGTGAACAACTTGGTCTCGTGTGCTGTTACGGGCATGAGGGCTGATATCACTTCCCGGCTGCCAACACCGCGGAAGGGTCAAACTTTTCTAACCTCACCTCTCCTTGTGGGAAGGCAGCATCGCTGTCATGCTGGTTGTCCGAGAGAAACACCTTACTGCTCTTACAGCCCTCTACAGTCAGCAGTACGACTTCACCCTCAGACCTCGAGTTGCTGCTTTTAGTCTTACCGTTCTCCAATCGACCTGCCTGGCATGATAGAAGCTACAGGAACATATGTCCCAGCCAATATAGCTCGGTTGGGTCATCACGATAAGCAAGCCCGACCACCGCGTCAAGGTAGCACCTTCGGTCGGGACCCTACGATTAGCCTTAGCATTTTTTCACTTTGTCGCGACAATATATTCAGGGGATGCATTCAAGACATCTATAGTCAAAAGTCTGCAGCCTACGAATGTCTTCTGTTTCTATGGTCCATGTTTCACAAACATATAGTAATACAAAATGAACTGCGGTACAGTTAAATCGCCACTTGGTTGGCAGACAGATATCTCACCAACTCCATAAATGACTCAGTTTGAAAAAAGCCAGTCATTTAGTCTATTGAATCCATGTCACGATTTCGTCAGACACCAATCTATCATAGCTGTTGAGATATCCCAGATAAATAAAACGATCAAAACAGTCAATTGATTCGCCCGCTATTATCAATCTAGGCGATGACAGAGGCCAGTATTCAAGCAATATTTGCAGTTAGGGGGAGATAAACATGATCTAAACACGTTTATATTGCTACTTAAGGTGACAAAAAAACTGCATTTTCTAAGTCTTCACCAAATTGTCATTTTGGTATTCTAACCCAATAAGTAGACCTCCTGACAGATCAATTTTTGAAAAGTTAGGTAAAGTGTGGTTTCTAAGGGGACATCCATGGTAAAATTAGATAAAAAAGACTGTGGCCAGACCTGAAGTAGTTGATGATTTTGATGACAGTTCACGATGAACTCTGATTCGAACTATTATCCGGGTTTGTGGGCTTTATCGATAAAATTTTACGATGATAAATCCAGTCAAAAAATGTCTCGGCTGATGGGGTCGAATGCTGTCTTAAGGTCAGGTAATTGAACTTTAGTTGGGTTTATATCATTTTGCTTACGTTTCAAAACCTGTTGAGGGGTGAACATCTGACCAGTATATTCACTTCCGCGTGTCAGACAGACCTGGTCTCCACGAGTTTTTTTCACGTGAAACCAAGCGCCAGATAAAAGGAAGTATTTCTCACAGGGTGATCTATAAATGATAGATGAAATCCTGAAAAAGGATTGTATATTGCTTATAAGTTCCTTGAAATGGATTTCAGAAGATGAAGCAACTATTTATGGATCGACTTCTTATTTAATGACCAATTTTGTAGTGCATTAAAATCATTAACTAGAATGTTTATTAGCATAGCTAGACTAAGCATATCAAGTTAAGCCAGTCAGTTATACGCAATATAGAACCTGGGAAATATGAGAATCGGTTCAAAGTGTCACACCACATCGCCACAGTAAGATACCAGAGTAGTATAAGTAGTAACAACCTTAGTTATATTAGAAAAGATTAGGTATAGAGGATACAATTCGGGAAAATCTGGAAAATAATCAAGATAATTAGGATCTTAGGGAAAACAAAGAGTGAAGTTACTTGCAAGCCGAACAATGGAATAAATAGTTAGAATGAGGAAAATACTACTTGATCACAACTAACTATAATCGTGAATATCTGTCGGAGTTTTAGTTTTCGATTTTGTTGCTCTATATCTTAAGCTGACAACTTAGTTATTTCTTTTAATTAGTTCAAATTTCCTCAATAAATCCCACTGATATCGTAGTGAACGAGAACACAAGCGGGGACAATCGGATGTATTTGAATACAAAATTACAGAGCGTCTTAGTAAAATCTGAGAACTGTACAATAAATACTTCATTTGCAAAATGTTAATTAACCGTTTCAGACTTCAGTGTTCTTTCGTTTCCACACCATTCGCTCTCTCTTCTTAGATCTTCTTAACCTTCTGCTACCAGGCACTTCACTTTTGATTGATGATACATACTACTTACATCTGCCGACATCAGTTGCACATACCATAATATGAGATACGTGTCCAATATAAAACACGGTGTTACAAACAAATTGGAATCGTAACAATTAAACCAATAAACAATAAATTTAAGAAGGGAGAGGGGTAATGTACGGTCTTTGGATGCTTAGTTTGGTTAGGATGTAAAATTACAGACAAAATGTTAGTCGATGTATACTTACTTTTACTTGCAAATCTCAAATCAACATATGACATTGAGTAGTAACTTAAACTCTGCATGAACTATTAGGGCCAAATGATATCTTATAAAAAATGCGTATCACGGACAGTAGTATATTTTAAATTTCATGACGACCACAATTTTGCATTTTAACATGCTGGATCGAAGTAATATGGATGATTACTAAATATTTAGCGTATCTCATGTGAAGTTTCGACCAAATTACTACATATTTCACTAATATGACAGCATATGTTAAACAGTCACGTCTATAACGGTAATAATATTTATTGGTAAAGAAAAACCGAAAATCAAGAGATAAATATGGAGTATGTTACTTATGTTTGCAGATATTAGTAATATGTAACACCAATCGGAAGTGGATTGCCTGAGAACCGACGGCTGACAAGATTGAAACGAAAAGGAGAGAGAAGGAAACTGAAAGCTAACAAGATAACAACAGGAATGAAAGAACAACGAAGTTTGCAAGAAATAAGTGAAAGATGTGCAAATGATGTGTCTACTGTATGGTTTTCATAATTTGTGAAGACACCGTAATTTTATGCTAAACAATAAATTGGTCTTCTCCATCTGTGTTCGTTCAGTACATAACAACTGCTTTCACGCATCAAGTTTCCTGAGTAACTCGTTTTACTATATAGATTTAAAGTAATAAAGGATGAATATAAACATGCAACGAGTACTCTCTGACTAAGGTGGTTTGGAAACACCTCCCCATCTTTGTAAAGACTTCACGTCAAATATCGTTGTAGCATGCATTCAATTTAGATTAATTTACTAAGGCCAAACTCAAAAGCATCAAAGTTAAATTACCTAAGGTACTCGCTGCATATATGATACAGAAGTAGTCTACGTACAGATAAATATGATGGGATAAGATAGGTCAATATTTTTTGTATCAATTTAGACCAGGATAAGAGATATGAACTTCGTTCAATGTGACAATTATATTCCACTGACCAAATAAGGTGAACTGTATATCGTTAAGATAAAATTTTCAATGTATCGTCGGACTGAGAACAGTTAACTACCACGTAGCCTGAAAACGAAAAGCAGTTTGTCCTGATATTCACTGATGATCCCAAATAAAATATGTAGTCGGATTGAATAGAAGTAATTAATCGACAAAGCTATTGACTACTGATCTGAAGCGTTTGGTGAGTTACATGTAGATGAAGTCAACTACAAAAACTGATGGTGACAAGCATACATAATGGGTTTATAACCTATTCATATGCTGAGGTCTCAACATTTCTTAACAAAAAAGAGAAAACCAACAGCAATATGGATCAAAGGAAGTAGTGAAGATACGGTGATAATGTTACAGATTTATAAGACTGATTTTGTTTTGAACCACTATGATCAACACTATAAGAGATTTCCAACTTTTCTTTACCATTTAACATTAAAATTAAAAAATTAGAACTAAATATATTTCAAAGGTTATGATTTTTAGGAATGGATTTTCGGTCGATCATAATTACTAAAAGTACTTACAATAAAAAAGCCGAACATCTAAAAAATAGTTAAACAATAAAGAACAGCATTTTCACACGAAAAAAACCTAACATGCATCATTATATGACTTACATTCTGATTTACAATAGCACTAGTAGTAGGAATCATGTTACTAGAGCTTGAAGTAGGGGTTATCGGTGATGGTCTAGCCATTAAGTTTTCTGCTGCTAAATCTGGAACGCCTGTAGCTAAAAGCTCAGCAATTATCACAGAACGTGGGAATTGTGGGAACATATTGGTTAGTTGGTCAACAGCAGAACGTAGATATAATGGTAATACATTCAAATCACTATTCCCATTAAACATAGAATTATGAACATTAGTATGATTAAAACCTGTCGTTTGTTGACCATTTGTTTGATTATTCAATTCGTTAATTGCACTGTAGGGTTGAATTCCACCAACATGAAATACCTCACGAAATACCTGTAGCAATAAAAAGTGTCTGTCAAATCCAAGATAATAAATATGTACAATTAAATTTATATGGTTCAATCGATGATTTTTTCAGAGCAGATTGGCTACAATCTACTAAAATTCCAATGAACTACAGTGAAAAATAGAGTTACCATAATATTTGAAATCGTCAACAATTTATTCTTAGCTAATAGATTTCATAAGAAAAACAAAGTAGAGTTGATTTTGCATGCATCAGTTGTAAACGACACATACTGAATTTAAAAGTACTGACACTAAAATTTAATTGCTTAAAATCTTGGTTTGTAGGTAGGAAGCTGAACATACTACTTGAATGTTTAGAATCAAGAATCTAAAATACTGGGTAACAGTTAACCGGTTTAAGAATCACAATTTTTATTATATGCTATCTATACTGACCGAAACTGTTTTATTGTCACAATAGTAGCTGAGCAAGTTTGTTGCATCAGAAATTTGAAGTTAACTTCGAAAAACGGACTAACAGATTAAATTAGACGAGAACTAAATGAACACTTATTATTATAAAATCATTGCACTAATTATGTGCCACAAAAATAGTAAAATACCATAACTCATATGAGTAGAGCGTGAAAAGCACTTAATTAGGTGGTAAACTAATATCCTAACCGTCGCTTAAACCTTGGCATGATGGTCGGGCTTGCATTATGAAGAACTGCTACCAGAATAGTCAACCTCAATGTGTATTCATCAGGGCTGACCACTATCACTCTTTTCATTTAATTTCCCCATGGATGCCATCTTAGAAACCACACTTTCTTTATCTAACATTTCAAAGACTGATCTGTCAGGAGGTCTACTTATTGGGTTATAATACCTGAACGACATAATCCTATTTGGTGAAAACTTAAAAAATGAAGTCTTTTGATCGCTTTGGGTTTATTTTATTTCTTTGAACACTGATATTGGTACAAGGAGGCACCAAATACATATGCGCCACACAAATCTCATTTGATTTGTGTGAGGGGTGTGATACTGCTCGGGTGCCCGAACCGAAGCAGGTGGCTTTCTTAGGGGGCCACACCCGGAGCCTTTGACCCTAAGGTTTAATCCACAAGGCAGTGGAACAACGTCAGGAGATGCAGTCCCGTGGTAGCCGGTGACCAACAATTGGTTCATACGCCATTTACTACTTCAGGGTACTGAAGCCCATGTGCACCATTGGTTTGGAATCAGGGTTTTCCAACTTCCCTAGGTGGAATCTCCATGTCCACCAACCCGGTTAACGCGCTGGACATTCGCTTTTCGTCCTCTCAATTTCGTAAACAACACCCCCACCGCGAGAAGGTAGTGAGCAGGACTTCTCTGGCAGTGATTGTATGCATGTGGCCATGTGAGAGCGTTTCGAGAGGGATAGCGGACTCTCCTCACTCTCGACCGTACCATGGCATTTGGGGGCTATTCGCTTGACCCCATCTACCCAGTATGGAGAGCCAACGTAATATACTCTTTGTGTATCTAGAGAAGTGACGTGAACTTGTAGTCTTGTCGGTGTAATTATAAGCACTAGACCTAGAAGTAGAACAGGGGCTTCATGACTGGATTCCCGTAGATCGTAGCTTATCTGATGTTCAGCTCAATAACACACTAAGAACTCGAAAAGATGAAGTCATAAACTGTTGTTTTTTTTTCGTTGCTCTTACTGATGCCGCTACCGATTGTAGATCCGAAGGAGTAAACAGTGAATTTTACATGAAACTATGACTTCTTTTTGAAAACCAAACCCTCAGACGTAGTCGTAGCAGGTGATTTAAACTCCCAGATCGGTAAACGAAGTCAAAATGTGAAACAACGAGCTGTGTCTTAAGGGGTCTCGGCCTGAAAACAGACAATGGTGACGGTCTTCTGTAATTATGCTTAGACAATCGCTTATTCCTATCAAGTAAAAAATTTAACAGAAAAGATATCTTTTAATCTGCAAGCCCCTAATCTCAACACAAAGGTGGAGACAGATCATACGACCATAAGGCATCATTGGAGGCCTTATATAGACTGTCAATGCATCCAGAGTACATGCTTGGACTCTGACCATGCCCTAGTGAGAGCACAATTCTGATTGAGTCTTAGTGAACACAGAAAAGCCATAACAAGGAGACCCCTTAGAATTTATTTCGAAAATGCTTTCAGGAATGAAGTAGTTCAACACTTGGTTGACCAAGGGGTTCAATACAAAGGGACTCGGCGCGATAACCAAACAACTGTAAATAAATAATAAATATTAGTCACTAAGTTGTATTAAAAGGTTAGGGAAGACCAGTGCATTCACATGCCACCTAATCAATTAATAGATGTTCGAAAACTCATCCTAGAAGGCTTAATGAACATTGAAGAACGAAAAATGATTAAACGTAGACGAACAAAATTGTTATGTAATGATCATGACCAGTGGTGGGAACCACAGAGGTCTAAAAAGGCTTCAGCAATACGTAACACTAAACAACTCATCAGACCCGTCAACGAAATAGGCATTAAAAAGGCAACTAATAGTGAAACTATTTCGGGAGAAGACGACAATAATATTCAGTTTCAGTTTAGCAGATTAGGGCGATAAATAGGACAGTTTAAGAAACAGATCATCTGAACTCCAGTGACTATTAAGTTAATCAGGATCTCTAAACAACCTGAATGGGGAATCGATACGAGTTCCCCAACACTTGGTGAGGTTGAAAAAAGTTATAACTGATCTAGGAAGCGAAAGAGAAACAGATCCTTACGCGTTAACTCTAGAGATCTTTAAGGACGATAGTCGAATGGTAGTTGACTGAGATACTAGAGTCTGGGAGCTGGACGTAATTCTATCGGACTGGTCTCAACCGCTGATCGTTCCAATTTATAAGAAAGGATATAAACACTATTGCAATGATCACAGAGGAATCAGTATGACCGTGGAAAATGATTGTCTCTATAATCATCCAACGCTTGGTTAGGATTCGTCAATGATAGCATGAAAATCAGAATGATTTCAGATATGGACGTAGATGTATTGACCGAATATTTACTTTTCGTTAGGTTTCAAAACAAAACAAAACAGGAATACTCACTGACATCCGATTTTAGTGGCATTTCGTGACCTCAAAGCAGCATTCAATTCTGCTGAAGATAAGTAAACATGAGTGTATATCTAATAGAATCCACAATTAATTCATCATTCTGCTAAATTCGATAAATACATATATCATTAATGAGGTTAATATAGCTTCGGAAAAACTTAAATTTAATTATTTTGTAGATATAATGACAACTCTTAGCGTTTACATGAAGATAAATATTACCTTATTACATATCTTAGAAGGATCTACCGCAACCAAGAATTTATCCGCTTGATATATAATTGATTTAATTATTTAATAAAATAAATTATCCCACAAAACAACTTACTTCAGACAGTTCAACATGTAAAGATGGTAACCAGGAGAAATAGCGTGATCCATCAAAATGGAAAGATCTACGTCTAATTTGGTCTCTAGCTTCATTTCCTGGAGTAGTTTGCTGATTTTACATGGAAATAAAAAACAATAGATACAAATGACTCGAAAAAATATCAGTAAAACTACCCAAATCAATAGTGTTGGAAAGACAATGATTAATTCAAAGATCGATCATTTTAAGTGAAATGACTGTGTGTATACGGCCAAGGCATGAAATGTTCACGTGTAATCGTGATTAAAAGGACTTTTAGACATTTTACAGAAAAAAGAAGGAATGCAATCCGCAAATAAAAAAATTAAAAATATTTTCAGCAATAAACATTTGTAAATTTTTTTAAAGACCGAACTAAGCTTTTACAAATGCAATGGACTAAACAGAAATAAAATCACCACAAACAGACAATTTAATTAAAATTTGGTATTTAGAAATAATTCGAATCGTATAAGTTGTGCGTGTAGATCTCATCAAAAGTGAAATTAAGTCAGGACTCAAGAGTGAAAATAACATAAAGAACAATCCCTAACGAAAAGTTTGAAGATCGTATCCAACTACAGATATGATGGTACATTGAGAAACATATCTGTTTGCTACAGATTTGTAACACACATACAGCAATATCAAATTAGAAAGTAACAACCCTTGTAATCTGGGAAGTACGCTCACTTACCTGCCATTTTAAGAAAAGTGGACTCATATTTATAGCCAAGGATTATTTGGCTTTTATGTCTTTCCAAAACGACGTCCAGCCTAATTACTTAAATTACGGTATAAATATTGAAAGTAACTGGAGGTAACCCAAGATAGCCTATTTCACAGAATATTAGTTCATAAGTCTAAACTATTTTACAGAGATGTAAACAGATTTTGAAGTGTTTTATATAGGATTACTCCGATTTTTTGAAAGAGGTAAGTGCTTTTTTTTATATTTTTCTCGTTCAAATCCCATCAGCCAACCGCCTTAGTACTTGGTAAATATGAGCGAATGGTAGCACAGACAGACAACAAACCTTTTTTAAAGCACGTTACCCGAAAGCTTTTACCACATGCCCTTTTCATGGTCCCTATAGTCCACAAAAATGCATGGTTTATGTTTGTTAAGATGAATGAAGTTACTAAGTATGAAAAAAGGTGCCCACTTCACTTACATTGCCAGTATGACATCAAATGACAAGCACACCCTACTGAGTGAAATCTGTAGACTTTATAACTCATATAGTTTGTAACTAATCGTAATGCATTTCTAAAAATTTCCTTTAACTGTACATTGGTATGGCTCAGTCAAACTTTTAATTAATAGATTATTTTTACCTATAGAACATTTAGAAAGGTAAGTTAATGACATCAAAATTTAAGTGTTTGAAAGGATTTATAGATTGGGTGTATGATATACATTCTAGAAATCCGTATCATCAAGAGAACACAAAGAAATTGATACTAGCATGGTTCGTAGATCGTACACTTATGAAGACAACTACATATATATATGCACATTGTATTACTGCACACAATCTTATTTCGACTGTAGTATATCAGATTACAGAAATATCGAAAACTAAATCTTACAGCTATACTGGATAAAACGCGACAGTTGAAATATTTCTTTTAACTACTTAGCTCTGGCTAAATAATCCTTGGAAAACAACGTTATGATTAATATTTACTCAGCATGAATATTTTTCCTGATGCATAAACATGGAAGCCTCTCAAGAATGGATGCCACAAATCGCAATAAGACGAATACTATTTAACCACTAAATCTTTTTCAACCTATTAGACCTAAATGTGGTTTGGGAACTTACAACTATTAGTGTTGTATTTGAAAACTTATGAAAAATAATAGAAACCGAATACTGATAGTTTCAACATCAAAACTACTTACATTTTGGTCATCAGTATGCGTTGCTTCTCGTACAGATGAATTATCCTCATTCTGTGTATGGACATTTGGTGTTTCTTCAGTCTGTGAGCCAGAAATACTAGCAACAGAACCTTGTGTGCCTGATTCACGAGGTAGTGCATTTAGTGCAGCCGTTTGAGCGGCAGCAGCGACAACTGGGGCAGAACCAATACTTAATCCAAGATTTAACCCTACAGCCGTAGCGAACATCCTGGAAATGCCAGACGTTTGGTTAGGTTGAATTGCATTATGAGGTGTAATCAGTGGCTGTACATTATTGACTCCGTTACGATTAGTTGGACCTTCGTTTCCAACATTATTGAACAAGTTTCGAACAAGCATACCAAATGCTACGTTTTCCGACCGTTGTGTCCTGTTATGATTGTGAAGAAGTATAGGAGGTATGCCCAAATCACGCCGACAAGTAGGACAACTTGGATTCTGTTCAAGCCAAGCACGAAGACAGTGTTCGTGGAAATCATGACGACATGGTAATCGACGCCAATCTGTCATAACATCCCAACATATTGCACAAATAAGTGCAGATTGATTTTCGTTATCAAAGTAAAACATTTGTGAAGTCTTATCGTCTGTTTCTGTTTTTTCACTAGCATCCTTGGAAGCGACCTAGAAATGGAAATATAGATATGAAAAGCATAGAAAGGACATGAAATTGTCTAATGAAGTGGACATCGATGAACTTTTTTTGTAACATAAAACTACTAAAAAGATGTTTAGATGAAAAGTCGACAAGCAGCTATTCGCATTCGATTGTGACACTTTTATTTGTATGAATGAGTAAACCAAATTCTCGAAAACTACAAAACCGAGTCACCTAAGTGTTCCTGACCATAGGTATCTGGGTAAGAGCAATAGTGAATAGGGAATAGTTACGAAACTAATAACGAGAAACCAGTGAGTTTAGGGTTTAAATAATAAATTTAGTGAACTTAAGATATCATAACATCATTAATATTACTAACATAATACCAAGTACAGATTCATTAATACATTACAACTGTGAGGACTTGTGACACTGTCTGGTTTACTAAACCAAAGCAAGTGGAGTGAGATTAGAACTTGAGATAAAGTAGCTAAAAATCGGAAATTTTAAACTTTGAGCTACCGCTTTAATGAATCCAAATATAAGATCGATTCGATCATCTCTGTTTTTCCAATACTGCACAGCAGTTCGTTCCATTTTAATTTACAGCTGTAAAGCGTGGCCATTAAGGGTAGAGGATACTCGTAAGTTACTAGTATTTGATCACAGATGTCTTAGAAATATTACTCGCATCTGCAGGAATCACTGGGTAATTAAATGAGGTTAGACTCAAGGTATTAGGGAATGATGGTAAATCAGTTGATGATGTACATCTTCATCGATTGAGATGGTTGGGTCACGTATTAATCATCCTCAACCACTGATTACCACGACGCACAATACTGACAAGCGTTGGAGACGGTTGGAATAAAGTTAGGGGCGGCCAAACCAAAACGTGGCATCAGTTCTTGAAGTCACTAAATTCTGGTCTGAGCCATGTTGGTAGATGGAGACTACTTGGATGGGGTCCGTGTGACAATCGTAACCAATGGTTGAGATTCAGAACCGATGAGTCGGTGTATACACTCTTTGTCTTCCCTTAAACCGTGAGATTAAATTGCTTTATAACTTTTATTCTACGAACTAATTCTTTCTCTCTGTATCGCGTTCTTATATGCGGTCTTTTTTATATATTAATACCGTTGAATTACTTCTATGAATTCGTCGTTCATTTTGTTGTGTTAATGAGTGGCACCTTGGATGGATGCATATATGTGCTGACTGACTGACATCCTAATACCTCTCATCCTGTAACGGACCTATTCTCGTTAAGTTAATTAGCTCTCCCTCCCAACCTAAATATCCTATTTTACTTGATCTCCTGGTAGATCAATGCCCGAAAATTCAGTCGATGAGAACGTTATTTCTAGCATTAGGTTTATGATGAAGTTAAACAAAAATGAAGATAGTGGACAGCCTTGACGGACACCGTTTGAGGTTACAAAATCAGCTGAGAATTCGCTATAAGCTCTGACTAAACTGGTAGTGTTCGAATAAAGAGCCTTCACAAGGTTTATTTACTTCTAAACCGACCGTAGCTGCAAGCTTGACGTGGTGGTCGGGTTTGCCTATCCTAATGAACCAGTCGAGCGATACTGGCTGGAACAATCCTTCATCAAGGTCTTACCATGCCTGATAGGTCGGTGGTAAAGAGATAAGACTGAAGGGCGGCAAGATTGAAAGCAGCAATCCAAAGGTCCGAGGACGAAGTCGTACGTCTGAATGTACAGAGCTGTGGCGGCAGTAAAGTATTCCCTTCAGACAACTAGCATATCAGCGATGATGCCTCCCCACAAAGGAAGGGTGGGGTTGAAGAAGGTCGATTCTAAAAATGCACACCTCGCCTTATCCCACGGATATCCGTCTCCGGAGGTAGGGTCCCAACAAGTACGGAGCTGACACGAAAATCACTCACAAAAAGGTCGTGTGTGGTCGACCTTAAGCAGTTGTCCCTTAGACACTGAGGTCACGCTCTCAGGTCACTAGGACTACCCCTAACACGATTTCATTCTCAAGTACCTCCAGAAGAATACTTCCTCGGTGTAGGCAACCGGGAAGTGATAATTGCCCTCATACCTCTAAAAACTCAAGATCGATTATAGGCAATAGGAAGGCTTTAAACAATCAAGTTAAAGAGCCGTACGAAAGTGAAACGGCACTATCAAATGCGCCAAGAATTAACAGAGGTTGTTAGGTCCCACACAAACGTTTCACTGCAAATACTCCTGGAGAGACCGTAGCTGCTACCTTGACGTGGTGGTCGGGCTTGCCTATCGTGATGACACAACCGAGCCATATAGGCTGGGACATATGTTACTGTAGGTCCCACCATATCATGCAGGTCGACTGGAGAACGGTAAGACTAAAAGCAGCAACCCAAGAACTGAGGGCTAAGTCTCACCGCTGACTGTAGAAGGGTGTGACAGCAGTAAGGTGTTCCCATCGGGCAACCAGCATCTGCAGTGACGCTGCCTTCTCACAAGGAAGGAAAGGGTTAGATGTCAACCCTTAAAATGTCAAACCTCACCTTACCTCACGAATTTTCGTCTCCGGTGGTAAGGCCTTTTAAAGAACGGAGCTAACAGGTAAAAAACTTCCCACAAAAAGGCCGTACATGACAGGTCTCACGCAGTTGTCCCTTGGCCTCTGCGGTCATTAAAACCAACACTAATCCAACTTCAATTTCAAGTTCCTCAAGAAATATCATTCCACGTTTTGGGCAGCCGGGAAGTGACATCAGCCCTCGTACCCGTAACAACACACGAGACTAAGTTGTTCACAATCAAATCCTTCTTACATCTAATAACTCTCTTATCTCCACAACTAACTCTTCTCACGTTCGTTTATAACCTCACACCGCGAATGCAAACGATTCGAGTACGCGGAACGTTATTCCCGGTCTCCTGAAGTCACGCACTAAACAACATGTAGGAGCTTTCAACGTCCGAACACTGTAAAATAAGACAGCAGGCTTCCTTAGCTAGGACTTTAGAATCTCGCACCATCGATGTGTGCTGCGTCTCTGAAACGCACATACAGGACCCGAGTAGCGTTATTCATTTGATCTCATACCTGGAAGCCCTGATGCTGCTTCCTGTGGCCTCGCTAGTGTAGGTATAGCATTGAGTCCAAGGGCAGAACTAGCTCTCCTAGACTGGATCCCAGTGGGAAGTCGTTCGTTCGCTGTCCAACTAAACGGGACAGTGAAGACTCGGACTCGGTTCATACGCCATTTGTTCCCGCAGGATACTGGAGCCCATGTGCACCATTGGTTTGCGATCCGGTTAAAGCGCCGGACATTCACTTTTCGTCCTCTCATTTTCGTAAACAACACCCCCACCATAAGAGGGAAGTTAGTAGGACTTCCCTGGCAGAAGGTGTATACGCTTGGCCGTGTGAGAGCATTTCGAGGAGGGCCGGCCCACTTATCTTGCAAGTCTCATCAGCCTTTGTAGTCGGGCGTGTGACGAAATCTCAGCAAAGATACAGAAAACTCGACCAGCGTTTGCCAACTTGCGTCATTTATAGCGTAGGCGAGATATCCGTCTATCAACCAAAGTACGTGTTTACTGTGCAGCTGTTCGTTCCGTCCTACTTTATGACAGTGAAACATGGCCGGTAAGAGTAGAGGATATTCGTAGGTTACTAGTATTCGATCATAGATGTCTTCAAAACATCACTCGTATATCCTGGGACCACCGGATAAGTAACTCAGCTGTTAGGGAACGGGTACTAGGTAAGGATGGCAAATCAATTGATGACGTAGTGAAACTTCATCAGTTGAAATGGCTGGGACACGTGTTACGTATGCTCAACCACCGACTGCCTCGATATGCGATGTTTTATGGTGTAGGAGTAGGTTGGAAGGAAGCTATGGGTCGCCAGACCAAAACATGGCACAAGTCCATGAAGTCACTGACAAGTGGACTGAGTCATGTTGGTAGGTAGAGACTACCTGGTTGGAGACGGCGAGATGACAGCAACCGATGGTTAGAGACTCTGAATGACATGGCTCAAAATCGTTTGCAATGGCGCAGGTGCATCCACTCTTTGTGTTCTCTCAAATTCTAATCTTCTGAATTCTTCATGTCCCTTTCTGTTTTCTCTTTCCAAATTTATTTCACTAGATTATACTTCTTGAATAACATCTTCAAACCGTAATCTTTCGGATTACTGCTTATACTTTTACTACCTTTACCACTACTGGATTTGAATCGACAACTGCATCTCTGTGCTAATGTGGTATGGAAACTCGAAATGATGTACGTAAGCACGAAGTTCTACGTTGTTGCTGACTGACTGAAAAGATAATGAGTTCGTGACAAAGAACATCGGCGCAGATCAATAAACAAGCATGTTAATATAGAGCCTGGCACAAATGTATGTAAGCGAGCAACATAGTCAACCAATTCACCCCCTATTATCAAACTGTGCGATGAGACAGACCAGTACTCAGGCAACATTTACGGTCGGGTGAAGATAAACGCAATCTTAACACATTTATATTGCTACTCATTGTGCCCCCGAATGCCCTGGTACGGTCGAGAGTGAGGAGAGTCCGCTATCCCTCTCGAAACGCTCTCACATGGCCACATGCATACAATCACTGCCAGAGAAGTCCTGCTCACTACCTTCTCGCGGTGGGGGTGTTGTTTACGAAATTGAGAGGACGAAAAGCGAATGTCCAGCGCGTTAACCGGGTTGGTGGACATGGAGATTCCACCTAGGGAAGTTGGAAAACCCTGATTCCAAACCAATGGTGCACATGGGCTTCAGTACCCTGAAGTAGTAAATGGCGTATGAACCAATTGTTGGTCACCGGCTACCACGGGACTGCATCTCCTGACGTTGTTCCACTGCCTTGTGGATTAAACCTTAGGGTCAAAGGCTCCGGGTGTGGCCCCCTAAGAAAGCCACCTGCTTCGGTTCGGGCACCCGAGCAGTATCACACCCCTCACACAAATCAAATGAGATTTGTGTGGCGCATATGTATTTGGTGCCTCCTTGTACCAATATCAGTGTTCAAAGAAATAAAATAAACCCAAAGCGATCAAAAGACTTCATTTTTTAAGTTTTCACCAAATAGGATTATGTCGTTCAGGTATTATAACCCAATAAGTAGACCTCCTGACAGATCAGTCTTTGAAATGTTAGATAAAGAAAGTGTGGTTTCTAAGATGGCATCCATGGGGAAATTAAATGAAAAGAGTGATAGTGGTCAGCCCTGATGAATACACATTGAGGTTGACTATTCTGGTAGCAGTTCTTCATAAGCTTTGATTCAATTAGTAGTACAAAGTCTACACCACCATACCAACAACCAATCAATTACTTAAATATTATTTAATATCCAAAATATTTTCAACTCCGATAATTAATTCAGTAGCTATACACAAGTGGATTTCCATTATAACAACTAGTCTACGACAATACTACTGGTATATATACGTACTAAAAGTTAACTAGCATTCAAATGGAACAAGTAATTATTCAATGCGAAGTAGTTGCTAGTGTTTACATTTGTTTAAAAAATAGTACAATTTGATTAAGAATCAAGCTAACTCACATAATACCCTGTCTTGCAAGCCTGGTAGTTCTCATTGATGTATTTCATTAGTCGTCTTTGTGCTAGGTGGCGAGATATACTGTTAGCCAGGTTTGAGTAAGATACACGTATATGCAAGAAAACAACAAGGCTAGCCACAGAAAACACTCTACTCCATAATAGAAGATGTAGATAGTGTGTTATTTCTGTTAGCCGGTAAAAGCATGTGAAAAAGAGCTCATAATAGTACATAACTGTTGAATGATATTGCCAGCTTTGACCATTGCGTAGACACCAACGGTCATATGTCTGTATGATTAATCCACAAACAAGATGTGATATTGTACACATCAGAAGCGCAAACTCAGATATAAGTAGGGCGACGACATCAACAGCATCATACAAAAGCTCCTTTTTCCCTGTTATTTTAGCTTTCAATGCACCCAACACAGTTGGTGTTTTGAGGCCAGTTAAGAAGGAATTCCGTGAATGAAGATCTAAAAAGTCTCCACTAGTTGAGACATCTATGTCTGCCAACGTGAAGCAGTTTTCCAAACCGGCTTTAAGTAAGTACCAATTTGCAAAAGAAATGATAATAAACATACAGTATATCCGCAACCACTGGCGCATGTTTACGGCACCAGAAGCCGACATTTGGTTACATCTGGAAGAAGCCACAGATGTTAACATGTGCAACACACCGAGAATACTGAACCAACAAAGCCATCCCAAGAGACTTGTCAGTCGAGAAGGATTAATTGCGCCGGAAAGTATGATAAAATGGAAAAGAACAAAACGAAAGAGAGACTTGGAAAGGGATACTCTTTCAGCAGATGTCAAGCTTCCGAAAAACATAACCACAGCTACTTTCCAGAGAACCAAAAGAACTGCAAACAGCCCCAGGACAAGTGATATGAAAGTTGATATATTTTCGATTGGTGAAGAAGCATTATCGTCAAGTTCCGAATCTGAACTGGTATCATTTGATACTGTCAACACTTCCAACGTTTCTGAGTTTTCTTCAGGGTGGAGTATGGACTCAAGTACACAAAACGCTGAAAGAATGGCGGAAACTGACAGAAATAAACAAATTTCAGTACGAAAAAGCCACATCACGGCACTCTCAGCAATTCTATAGAACCGTCTGCAATACAAAGTTAACTTATGAATTATCATTCGTTATTTTTGTTGTTTCAAAGACCCAAGACGATTCAATTTTCACTTCACCTCCCGAACATCACGACTCTTTTAGTCAGGCGTTGAGCGACATGTAGCAAGTATACTTGCAATGTTAGATTAGTGACTAGCGGAAATAACCTTCCTAGCAAAGGTACACAACCTGCAAAATAGAAAACACGAAGACTAGCATAAGTTTGTTGGATTCCGGCTTTTACATAACATCCATAGTCAGACAGCTTACTGTACCAGAATAAACTGTCTACAGTGCGAAGATACTAGTGGTATGTCTAAATACTACAGACTAAGACTTATTCTGGACCAGTATTTGGAAATTAATGATGTGGTATGTTACAAATGTGGAATTTAAAGCTATTATATCACAAAATACTAACAGTTAAAATGGTTGTTGGCGGAACTGAAGTTTTCGTCAAATGCTCTTCCGTGCCTAGAAGAAATGGACCATCAGTGTGATGCAGGTAGGGACCAAATTATACAAAATAACAAGGATTAAGAACATGACATGTTATTTAGAGTTCTACTTTAGGAGACTCCGAAGAATTTATTTACTCTTCAGATGGCAGTGAATTCATAAACTTGACTACCAGTGAACAGCAAAAGGCAAACCCAGCTCAAACAGCTACGTGGTAAATATGGTTTTTAATTATTCCCTCTAGGATTTTTATGACGGTCTGACCTGTAGAAGCGCTCCATGGGATAGTTTCGGGTGGTTATGATGTAGATTTTTCTGACGTCACCTCTAAATCGTGGAGAATCTTGGTGGGCGGCCTATGCTGTTCCGGGAGGGGTGACAAGCGTAAGTCTGGACTATATATTCTGAGGTATAGATCTAATGGCTTCAGGTGTTCCTGGAAGGATCTGAGCTAAAAACTTAAGGGTGGTTTGGCGTTTCTCTGTATATACTTGAAAAAGACCATTTGGATAAAGGGGTGAACCACATTATATTCTATGTAGGGCTGAATAAAACTTAAGCGCCAGACAAAGTCTCACATCAAACTGGTCAAAAATGGGCCTTGAAGTCACTTATGTAGTGTTGAGTCTAAAGATGTTTATTCACAGTTAATATACGATATCTAAGTTTTCTTAGATTATGAATAGATTTTTGGTGAATTTTCTAGATTTCACGTGCGATCCGTATCATACCTCAAGTATCTTAATTCTCACTTCAAAGAGTTGAGATTTAGACCTTATTCCCACCAAATTCAGTCAGTAATACACATTCGTAAATATTAGGTTAGCAGCTTCAGTGAGTGATTTCTAAAAAAGAAGTCAACAGCCACCGACATGACTAGGAAAAATGTCAAAATTAGTCTACGTCAGGTAAGGAATTACGATACACCAACACAACGGAACATAACCGACTTACGCACACAGATTTCAGTATATCCCAATGTCCTCTTTAGTTACAAGGTCATAGTACGCATGTTCAATTTAAAAAGGCTCATAAACAGATTTAGATTTTGTATCGTGAGCGGAAGTCAAACGGGCTTAGTTATTCTTTTTTCTAGCAAATTTCTTTGATTACTTAAACTAAACGCTTCCCGATATATCGATAGTGTTTAAAACATATATGAACCTCTGTTTCTGTAATCCGATTTGATTGGGTTGGTATACTTCGATTATAAATGTGTTACATGTGAGGGGCTTTGTCAAACTTCGAATACAGGTATTATCCATATTAGGATACTGGCCTTCGTTGATCAAGTCAAATCAACGAATCCTCCCTTGTAGGATTCTCGGAATTCGCTTGAAAAACTCCAGCTACTAGCAAATTAGACAAATTGAATACGCAAAGTGTGAACACAATAATGCTCCTTACGTTGTGCCTCTAATTTCTGGGAATCACCACAGGGTTTTAACTACGCCTGCAGTCCTTCTAGATCTACTGCCCATCTCAAGCCCAGCTAAAGTAGAAGGGATTGGTATGTGGTCGGCAACCACATTTCGTAGAACAAAACCTTGATAAAAAAACGCCAACCAGAATAAACGGATTAAACAATTTAAATTCTGTCCTGAGAGTTGAAGGAAGAATTATGATGCCTCATTGTGAAAGACAGGATTCTTCGGAGGAAAATGCTGCACACACTCAGAGAGTTGCTCTGATGCTGTCCAAAGAAGCACGTAATACACTTATAGCATGGAAAGCGCACGGATTCAGAATCAGCAGAGTATCATTCAGAAGGACAAAGGAGGTAGTTACAATGAATATTATGCAATTTTATGCACCCATCAATGATAGAAACGACGACAATAAGATCAGTTCTGCGAGAGGTTGTGATCGATCATATTGAAGTGCCCAAGAAAGGACCTAACTATCCTGTTAAGAGATCTAAACGCCAAAATCAGATTGAGCAACATCGATTATGAAGATATCATGAGACGACATGGACTGGGAGAGAGAAATGAAAATGGTGATTTTTAAATCTGGGTGCATACAACAAATTGGTTATTTGTGGCACAATACTTCCACACAAATGCGTACGCAAAGTTACGAAGAACCAGACAGATAAGTAGCAATATAGAATTCAGGAGATCAATGGAAGACGTGAGAACCAAGATAGGAGCTGATATGGCTTCAGATCACCTCCTTGTTGTGGACATGAAGAAACTGAAGCTAAAGAAACACTGGACAACTGGAGGATCAACAGCGTTCATTACAATCCTCTTTCGATATACTGATAAACTCAACCGAATAAAGATAACGCTCAACAACACGTTTCACGCCTTACAAGATCTGTGAAAGAAGGAGTAGCTACCATGGAGTACAACTGGTAAGTGATCAAATAAGCTTTAAATTTTACACGTCAGTAGTTGCTAACTGCAAAAATAATCATAGAAAATAATGGAAACACATCAAAAATCTGGACAAGATTAAAAATGAAAAAGAATACAGTATGAACAGACAGCAGAACAAGAGCAGAGAAAGTGAGGACACAAGCTGAAGACACCAAAATTAAACAGGCAAATGAAGAGGAGCATTATAGAAGACAAGATGAAATAAGTGAGAGAGCCAGAAACGCCGATTCGCAATACTATATGTAAGTGCAACAGCTTTCACGAGAGTGTTGTTCAGCCGGATTAAATATTCAGTAGACGCCCGAATGCGAGGTCAACGGGCTGGATTCCGTAAGGATCGTTCATACATTAACCAAATCGCGACAATACGGATCATCATTGAACAATCGATTGAATGGAACTCATCACCATTCATCAACTTCCTTGACCATGAAAGGCGTTTAACAGTGTGGATAGGAGAACATTATGGAAACTTCTTCGACACCACAGTGAACCCGAGAAGGTCGCCAACATCATCCGGAATTGATAGGATGGGTTACAGTGCAAAGTGGTGAATGGAGGACAACTGACAGACTGATTCCAAGTGAGAACCGGAGTCAGAAAAAGGCTGCTTACTCTCCACCTCCATCTTTCTTCTGGTGGTCGACTGGATTTTGAAAACTTGAACATCTGAGGGAAAGCACGGAGTATAAGGGAGAGCTCGGAATCAATTAGAAGATTTGGACTTTACAGATGACCGGGCCCTTCAACCTCATAACCACAAACAAATACAGGTCATGACAAACGGTGTAGCGGAACCCTGTGCATCAGTAGGCCTCGACATACACAAGGGAAAAAGCAAGATTTTCAACTACAACACAGAGAACACTAACCCAATCACACTTGATGGAGAAGGTCTGGAATATGTGGAATCTTTCACGTGGTTTGTCAGCAGCATCATCGATGAGCAAGGAGGATCGGATGCAGACTTAAATGCGAGGATTAGCAAAGCAAGGACGGCATTCCTACAATTGAAGCACATATGGAATTCAAAACAACTGTCAACCAATATCACAATGAGAATCTTCAATGTGAACATCAAGATAGTTCTACTGTGTGGAGCTAAAACATGGAGAACTACCACAACCATCATCAAAAGGGTACGAGTATTTATAAACAGTTGTGTGCGTAAGATACTGAATGTCCGTTGGCCGGATACCGTCTGCAACACCACTCTGTGGGATAGGAAAAACCAGCTTCGAGGTGAGGTGGAAAATGGGGAAAGACGTTGAAGGTGGATAAGACGTACATTGCGGAAATCACCAAGGTGTATCACGAGACAATCGCTAGCTTGGAATCCTGAAGGGAAGCGGAAATGAAGAAGTCCAAAGAACACAATACACCGAGAATCGGTTGCAGGAATGAAAATGATGAACAGCAACACGAAAGAACTAAAAGGGATTGTCCAAGACTGAGTTGAATCGAGAATCTTGGTGGGCGACCTGTTTTCCATCAGGAAGAGTAACTGGTTTAACTAAGTAAGTATTTTATAAACTAGTTAACATTAAGGCTGAGCCATGTTGATAAGTTTAGACTACATTGTTCGGGTTCGTGTGAACAGTGGTTAGGGATTTCCAATGATATGGCTCAAAATCCTTTTCAATTGATCTGGTGCATCCATTCTTTGTCTTTCCGCTAATCTGAAGCTCTTGAATTCTTCATAACCTTTTGTCCGTTTTTACTTCAGTATTTAATAGGTGAGGTGGAAATTGGGGAAAAACGTTGGAGATGGATAGGATGTACATTGAGGATATCAGCAAGGTGTATCACGAGACAATCGCTAACTTGGAATCCTGAAGGGTAGTGGAATTGAAGAAGTCCGAAGAACACAGTGAATCAGGAATCGGAAGCAAATATGAAAGAAAGTATTGTCTAAGATGGATTTGATTGGTGAATGCTTTTTGGTGTCCCATGATACTCCATGTGTTGTAGCAGTGCAGTTCGTGTGATTGTACGTAAAAAACCTCGTTTTAGTTTGAAGCGATAAATAGGTTCCAAAACGAATTGGCCTGTTAGTCTTGGACATTGACGGTACTGTCAGTAATTTTACTGGACCCTCCCTAAGGGGAAGTACTAGGTTCTACAACTGTACTAGATTAGCATGAAGTACTCCATGCCACGCATTTAGCAAAAATCTGGTTGGTTCAAGTCATGATCAAGCAAATGGATGTTAAAAAAATTTAGGATCGATGATATCATTTTTGGCCATAGAATTTTAGTGATTTGTTTTTAATAACTATTTTGAATGAACTCCTGACTATTTCAAAGTGTTCATTTTGAATTGATGCTAATGTGTTAATAAATTTTAATGCATTGTCTACGAATATGGTCGATAATCATACCAATAGTTATGATTATTGTGAGACACAACTCATGTCTTAGTACCAAAAATGTTTTATTGGATGGTGGTTATATTGGTAAGCAGATATTTAAAAAACTTAATTCGCATATATTTTTAAAGGATGTCTGTACCAAGAAGTGTGCCTGACTGGGGAGATATGTCATAATGGTGAGCGACATTCATTTTATTCAATGTTTCAGATTCGCTTTTCGGAAGGTGTGTTCCTGAAAATGTCCAGCACGAGTTGTTTGATGCTACCTATTCACAAATGCACAAAATGAAATCGCTTCCTTCGTTTATTCGACCACAAAACTACAACTGGGCTGACACAACCCTTCAATGTTTGTTAAGAACAATGATTCTAGAGTATGAGTAAGCTGGTTTGAACTCAGGTGTTTACACTATGTGCACATTTTTGGTAGTCGATAATGTCATTTGAAAACGAAGAAAAACAGTTTATTATCTTCCAAGATCTGTCAGAGTTATGGGATGAAAGCCATTTATTTGATATATGCATTCTCTTTACGCAACTTCAGTCTGAATCTTCTGGAAAAATACTATATGTATATTTTCATCTCGGGATATCGTTTTATATATTGAATGCATATTATTTTGCTCAACTAAAGTAGAAACTTTGTGTATGGTAATTTTTCCAGTGTTACTAGCCACTATCTTGACTTCTGAAAATGTGTATTTGCGAATGGTCCGACGTGCGGTAATGTGAAATTTCTGACAAATGTTTACAGTCAAACTATCAGAACAATTGGAACGATACAGTAGTAGAATAATATTTAATAGGAAATCCCCTGCTGCGCTTATTGATAAATTATAGTGTTCCTTTGCGGTCCGTATGAGATTACGGCAAAAAACGTAAATAACGTATGTATGAAAGTAATTAATTTCATAGCACTTGGGTGGCAGTATATTGTGTTTGAATAGTCAGAAAGACGGCATCCGAGACTAACATTAAGACTAAATAACCTGGTATATTTTTATCAGCTAGAGATAGTAAGTAAGCTGCTTATCTAGAAAGCTAAATAAAGTTAAACCATTTTTATGTAAAACAGAGTTGGTTAACTGGCGCAATTGGAAAGCGATTTTCCAACTGTCTGGGCTAATCATTATATCTAACTAAGATACTTTTTTTAAAATTCACCACACGTTTTTGAAATATCTAATGAGACACCATATATTATAAAAAATTTTATTCTTAAAATACGATTACTTACATTAAATTTCCTTCTGGCAGATCTTACAGGTTGTTTAAGTTTTTGAGATCTTGAATTCAGTACCAACGTTCTGTATGTAAGTAATTGTCGCTTTGAGGAGAAGCGGTCTACAAACCGATCAATAATGTTATCATTTGATTATTAAGGAGGTGGTTATTGTTGTAAAGACATTCATGACTATATACTCTTGTGGGGCAATTTATAGTCAAACTACATAAGGTTAATGAACTCTGCCTTTTCCTTGTGTAATTTTTTGTGCACTTCAGCCGTTATGTTTTCCTTAAAATTTTATTACTTACCCAATCAGTTCTATGGTTTTTTACGGTGATAAATCACTTATTACTTTTTAACAGTTCAGAATTCCAAAGCAAACTTAAGATCTTAGTCAGATTTTTGGATATACCTTGCTAAAAACTCGAAATATTTTTACTTGAAAGAAAAATCGGTATATAGACATATTACTAAGTATTTCATGATTGCTGATATATTTCGTTACGTACAGAGTGACGAATTGTCACAACAATACAGTCACTTAATTAGCCATTTGCAGCATGACTGAATAAATAATCCGATATCTAACAGCTCTTTAAAAAACTGTACATTAATGCCAAATAGCATTCAAAAGCCACTATTTATTCCGGCTTACATTAATTCACATGGACAACCGTGGAAATATGTTTGATTAAAAAATGTTTAATATGTTAAAGAGGAGGTATATGAGGTTCAACACAAAATGTCTAGAAACTTGCACTATAATGAATTGTCAATCAGTAAACACTGACAAGCAATTAGAAAAATCATGAGCAAACGTAGGATTAATTATCAGGTTAAATCGAGAGATTATTCGAACAAGATAATGGAAAAAATAACCAGTTAAAACCAAGGTTAACGAGATAAGTTATCGGCAGTATGCGGAAAAAATCGAATTGCTCACGTCTACCAAAAGCTTGTTCTGATGGTACTGTTTGGAGGAGCAATGAAAGCCTCACAAATAACCATCCACCTCTGCGAACAAAATTTCGCTCAACTCATCCATCAAATGAGCAGATATTCATTATCTCAAAGCTGCAGTTTGGCTGGAAAAGAAAGCATAAATGTCTGTGAACACCCAAATAGTTATCACTAGTAACTAGCTCAATGTGAATGACAGTGGAATATATTCTACACCTGTCTCGTTATACTTTTTTGTTATTAAAACAAACTTATAAGCTGTTCTGAATAAATTTTAACTTACAGATTATAGTATAATAGATGAAGTGTGTAGTGAGTGTAATAATGCAAGTTTTCTAACTAAAGTTTAAGTACAACGCGTACGTACATTTATAGACATCTTTAAGATCAAGTTTACCATACATTTATGAATAAAGCTGACACCCATTCCCAAAAGCAAACGACGCTTATATTCTACATATCTTACTTAAAAAGTGATAAAAATACTTCATAACCTACGATGATTTTGGATATTCAGATTTCACTAAAATAGAGTTTTACGACTGATATTTGGTAATAATTTCTAAATTACTTCATGATCATAATTGAGTAGTATCAAATGTTAGCTAATGCTCTAGAAAATAACATTTTAATCCATGAAATAGCTTTGGTGAGTCAGATTATAATTCTTTCGTAAATTTCTTTTATTCTATCCGGCACCTAACATTCTCAGTCGAGTTGACTACATCTTGTTCATCTAAACATTATAAATCGCCGTTTTCTTTAGATGAAAATTTTGATATCCAGACTCATGTACTGGTCTATTTGAATATTTATCTTTGCTAAGAGTTTGTACAATAGATTTCTAAGAAAAAGGATAATTTTTACAAAATAGGAAATGAATAACTACACAGCTTTAAATATTAGCGACAATCAGCAGTAATAGTTTGCTAATCAAACAAGATTTCAGGTTTTACTCGAGTTATCATGGTAATTGAGATACTCAGCGAGATGCGTTATAGTATATATGTAAATTCCAGCAGTAACTGAGGTAAACCAACGTTATTTTTAAATTATATTTCTCGCCTAATTTAGAAGGATTTCTGTCATTTGACTGGATTACATGATCGCTTATTATAGTAAACAAATTTGTCAATCAAGTTAACTGTGGGTCAAAACTAGTACATCCCAAAACATTTGTCACTGAGATATTTTATCAGGGCCCTCAACTGAATAGATTGAGCTGAGGAAAAAGATGTACTGGGGTTACTTTCCAAAACTTAATATTCAGATAAACTTCACTGTTATTAAAAATTCTATAAATGTTTGCAGACAGTATTTTCATGAGTAAAAATGTTTGGCTCTGATATAAACGCGGATGATCATTAAATGGCATGCAACTTTTTTCTGACTAGAGTGATTTACGCTTGATGGCTCGTAACTTTACTTTAATATGTTTTTTAATCAAATGTAGTTTATGGAATACTGCTGTGTAGTGTTGTCCAACTCAGGGACTAAATATAGTTTCTTGAAGTTTTATCATTGGTGGACGCTGTTAATCTCAACATAAAATTACTTGATATTTGCTAATCAGACCATCCAAGAAGATACTTTCAAATTTTACATGAAATAAGGAAAGCAAATGATGTGAAGCTTCTTGAAGAGAAAATTTTCATGTTAACTTATGAAGTTTGAGCCTTTACGGTTTTCCGATTGCCTAATATACAAAACTTTTATTATTGTTACAATCGTTATTGTATCTCAATAAAAAACACAGTCAATGGAACGGTTGATTTAGTTTCTCAATGATGGTAAATTTTTAATATTTACCTATAGTGTTAATGAACAAAATTAGATGCTGTTATGTTTGGTAAACTATAATTTATTTGAAGGGTGATGAAAAGCATATCTTGAATGTTGAGAGAAATTAAAATCCCTACTATATAAGATAGAAAAAAAAAACAAATAGATGTGGAAAATCAGGTGCCACCAAATCCCAGTGTCTTTCAATTAGATCCTCTTTAATTGTGAATAAAACTAGCCCATTTTCTGATGGAATTCATCACATCGCACTTCTCGATTTTAGTAACTCACTTCATAGTCAGTAGGTCGAAATTGAGTGATTAGTACTTTTGTATCACTGTGATGGTGGCTGGAAAAAGTTAATAGCAGGCCTGAAACCTAAGTCTGACGACGAGTGGAACTGATCGAAAAAGATAATTTGAAATATTGAGAAAATTGATACTTCTCCATAGCTCTGAAACAGCACAGCCAATTCCTACAATACTTTTAATACCTTTTATGTTTAGTTCTGGGACTTTTTGACTTACTTGAACCCTGTCATTGACAGTAATGCAAATAAATGAGTTAGATTACTTCTTTTTTTTTCAAAATACATGAAAAAAGTAAACATTTCTGACTAAATTTTATTGATTTACATCATATTTTGATTATCTTCTTCGTATAAAGCAATCTGTTTACTGACCAAAGTTGTTCAGCTAGCCATTCAATGCTTACTTTCTTGCGTTTAAATGCAATTGGTCCTTATCCATGCAAAAATAGAAAGCTGCATTATACATAAAAGGTTGTGTTTAAGTTATGTGACTATCACCGAAGGCTTTTTATTCATACAGTATTTATCGAAATTGTAATTCTTTCGAAATCGATGAACAGAATATAATTTAGGCAGTATGTTTGATAAGTTTTTCGTTATATCCACTATATTCAAATATAACTTACTGATATGAACCGCCAATGATGTTTTGTTATTTATAGTTTCACTTAAGATATTTAGCAAATTCTTATCACAATTCGAAATTATTATTTTTTATACATCAAAACATTATAAAAAGTGTTATATTTACTGTACAATTTACAGATATCATTCAATCTTTGTTGACCCCAAATCGTTTTGTTTATACCAGTATGATATAGAGGATGGTGATAATATTGATGGTCAATTCCGTAGTCAGTATGTAAAACGTGATGTAAGGAAAAATCGTGGATATCCAAATTTTATGCTTAGCAATCCACTGAAAACTATAGAACCTTATTATTTTCCTGAAAATTCATATGAACTTATGGATAATGACAATAACTATAATCGGTGGATTGATAATCCTATTAATAAAGGAATAAATGCAGAAATGAAGAACAATGAAGAATTAGATCATTTCAGTAAAAAATTTCAGAAAATGCTACGTTTATCTGGGAATCATGAAAAAAATGAGAACATAGAATCTAACAGAGAACAAGAATTAGCAAATAAAGTGATGGATGATTCAAATAAAGACAATGGTGATATGGCTGCCAAATTATATCAAGATGATTATCTACTCTCAGGCAGTAAGTAGTTTAATTGAATTTGGGAAATTGTTTAATAATCTTATGACAAGATCAAAATGTAATTTTGACGATGACTAGGTTACATCTGAACAAGTATTTTGTATTACAGAATGGCGAAAATGTACGGAAGACTTTTCATATGCTGAACATTTAATTTTCAGACTTCTTAGAGGCACACCAGCTTTTGATATCCTAACGTTACTGTACTGCATAAGCAATTATTACTCAGTGTTTTATAATTCGAATTTAAAAGAAAAATATTTTTGCTCGTCAATTGAATTTCTGGATAGTTTCCATCGAGAAAACCAATGATTTATGAGTCTTTGTAAAACAGTATTCAGTAATCATAGACATTCAGCAAATATTTCACTCAGTTAAAACTATAATTTGACCAATAATGAATATGTAATGTTTTATCGATCCACCAACAAATATGAAGACTTTAAAAAATGTATTTTCAATGTTTATAGCTATTTCTAATGTTACTGAGAAACATTGGAAACAGGTGATGTACTTAGATATGAAACTAATGTTTTTATCAAAACAATGCTGCAATACCTTAAGAGCTTTGAGACATTCCAGATCTTTATCTTATGATTTTAAAGTTAATTAGATTATAGGGATAGGAGAAAAACAAATCATTTTGCTAAAGTGTTCCATATTCCCCAGTGATAAAGGTTTATTTTGGAAATATCTTTTGACGAAACTGTAACAATTATTGGTTACACGTAATCGATAGTATTGTGGTGTATACTACTTATGTCGACATATATATAAAGTTGTTTCCTGTATTGCACCGAGTTTAAAGCATGGTACTGAATCTGATGGTTTTAACAATTCAGTTAGTTTCTGTATAATATTTATCACAAGTGTATAACAACTAAAGTTATTCAAACTAAGGAATACTGAACAATAGATTGTAACATAAATCTATTATTATGTTGTGTACATGGTTACAGGTTTCTTAGTAATTTAGAAACTGTATTGCCCAACACTAGGTCTCTTGTTTCAGGAGACAGTTGAAGTGACAGACTTAAGAAATATGCTTAATCTCTCGCATCAATTGTTCGATTTCCATTAAGGTAACTGATTGGGCAATTTAAGTTCTTTAGAAACATTAAGATTGTTTATCCAACATAAAGTTTGGCAGAAATTTCAAACTATTCACATTACCCAAATTTCGTAGAATTTTGATTCTACCAACAGTTTACTGAAGAGTTATTTAATATTAGTTTCTAGGAAATTTATTGAGCAATAGACTGAAAATTTGAAATTTAGCCAACGTGGGTTGAATTCGAGCAAATTATACGGCACATATATCCGTTAGAAATTTAGAAACGTCCTTCTTGAAATGAACTAATTAAGAGTGGTGGATTATAACTATTCAGCTTAGTAGTTTGTGAATGGTCGTCCCTATAACTAATATCACTTCATAATGAAACCTCTGAAATATAGAATTTTGGCGAACTGTAGCTTATAATGAACGTAGTTAGTCGATAAAACTGATAATTTTGAAATCTGTTTTGTAAAACCTAAGCAGTAAATACCATTAGATTCGAGTTTAGAAAGAATGAGTTATTGAAAGCTTCTACTGACTTCACATTTTGTCGATTTCATCAATTCCTAAAATGTTCAATATTAATTGGGAATTTATGACCGGTTAAAATTGTTTAAATAACTACTAAGAATTATTTATTGAGCGATTCATATGATTTTGGATATTAACATTGAAGCTGTAATTAATCAATAGGAAAAAGTCGATTAGAATGAGATTATCATTAGGGATATATATGGGACAGACAGGCTTGATGAACCAGTAAAAATTTTTGTACTTTTGGTAATTCAGAAAAAACTCTACCTCCCAATTATTTTCATAATTTCTCACTTGTTTCGTTCATAAATAGAACTAAATGCTCAATAAATCGATTTCAAGAAATACTCCCATTTTATAAATGAGATGATTTGCAGTTTGAGCAGATACATGCATTTTTTCTGTCGGTGTTTCATTAAACCCAGAATTTGAACTTCAGTAGTTTACACTAAGAAATGTCTATCTATGCATTGAGTAAATATGGAATATTGAAAAATGACAATCATGTGTAAAAATAATAAGATTGAGGCTTAAGAGGTACTGCTTAATAACTACCATTACGCAATCCTACAAGTGTCAAATATAATTAATTGGTATTTAAAATAGTAGGAAATGAAGACAAGCTTGAGATAAATAGGAATTGTTCACCCAATCACTCCTTACACACTTACACCTTCCTATAGATGTTACTCCACGAGCAATTGAAGAAATCACAATAACCATTAGACAAATAAAGTATGGGACAGCAGCAGTACCAGGCAATATGCCAAGTGAAGCAATAGACTCAAACATAGAGGTAACTGTAAAGATGCTCCACGTACTATTCAGGAAGATTCCAGATGAAAAAAGTAGTCCCAACAGGCGGAAAAGTAATATAACTCGCTAAGGCACCAAAGAAAAAAGATCTCAGCGAGAGCGCGGTCTATATAAAAATCAAACTACTATCAGTACCAGAGCGTAGTTGAGCCGGATTAAATATTCAGTAGACGCCCGAATTCGAGGTCAACGGGCTGGATTCCGTAAGGATCGTTCATACATTAACCAAATCGCGACAATACGGATCATCATTGAACAATCGATTGAATGGAACTCATCACCATTCATCAACTTCCTTGACCATGAAAGGCGTTTAACAGTGTGGATAGGAGAACATTATGGAAACTTCTTCGACACCACAGTGAACCCGAGAAGGTCGCCAACATCATCCGGAATTGATAGGATGGGTTACAGTGCAAAGTGGTGAATGGAGGACAACTGACAGACTGATTCCAAGTGAGAACCGGAGTCAGAAAAAGGCTGCTTACTCTCCACCTCCATCTTTCTTCTGGTGGTCGACTGGATTTTGAAAACTTGAACATCTGAGGGAAAGCACGGAGTATAAGGGAGAGCTCGGAATCAATTAGAAGATTTGGACTTTACAGATGACCGGGCCCTTCAACCTCATAACCACAAACAAATACAGGTCATGACAAACGGTGTAGCGGAACCCTGTGCATCAGTAGGCCTCGACATACACAAGGGAAAAAGCAAGATTTTCAACTACAACACAGAGAACACTAACCCAATCACACTTGATGGAGAAGGTCTGGAATATGTGGAATCTTTCACGTGGTTTGTCAGCAGCATCATCGATGAGCAAGGAGGATCGGATGCAGACTTAAATGCGAGGATTAGCAAAGCAAGGACGGCATTCCTACAATTGAAGCACATATGGAATTCAAAACAACTGTCAACCAATATCACAATGAGAATCTTCAATGTGAACATCAAGATAGTTCTACTGTGTGGAGCTAAAACATGGAGAACTACCACAACCATCATCAAAAGGGTACGAGTATTTATAAACAGTTGTGTGCGTAAGATACTGAATGTCCGTTGGCCGGATACCGTCTGCAACACCACTCTGTGGGATAGGAAAAACCAGCTTCGAGGTGAGGTGGAAAATGGGGAAAGACGTTGAAGGTGGATAAGACGTACATTGCGGAAATCACCAAGGTGTATCACGAGACAATCGCTAGCTTGGAATCCTGAAGGGAAGCGGAAATGAAGAAGTCCAAAGAACACAATACACCGAGAATCGGTTGCAGGAATGAAAATGATGAACAGCAACACGAAAGAACTAAAAGGGATTGTCCAAGACTGAGTTGAATCGAGAATCTTGGTGGGCGACCTGTTTTCCATCAGGAAGAGTAACTGGTTTAACTAAGTAAGTATTTTATAAACTAGTTAACATTAAGGCTGAGCCATGTTGATAAGTTTAGACTACATTGTTCGGGTTCGTGTGAACAGTGGTTAGGGATTTCCAATGATATGGCTCAAAATCCTTTTCAATTGATCTGGTGCATCCATTCTTTGTCTTTCCGCTAATCTGAAGCTCTTGAATTCTTCATAACCTTTTGTCCGTTTTTACTTCAGTATTTAATGTTTTCATTCGTACTGTTTCTTACTCTACTACTCATGTATTAGGGCATGAAATTTGATCGGTCTGTGCTAATTTAGTATGACAACTTGAATCTATGTATGTATCTATTAGGTTCCGCTCTGCGACAGATTGACTGACTGTGAAACCTAAGTGACTGCAAAATACTAATTAAATTTGTGAATGCACACTGGCAGTAAGAGGCATCAAGAAGCAATACTTTTTATCAATGACAAAGATTTTTGTTTGGTGTATTACTTCTATGATATGCTTCAATTTTTCAAAGTTGAAGGTGACTTTCACTCAAGATAATTTGAACAACAGTCGAAGTAATAGCTATGATCCTCTGATCAAAGAGAACAAATATGTGAAAAGAGTTTCAGATGATTTAGATGAGTCAAAGAAGTTACACTATATTTCACAGCATTGAATAATTATTTTAAGGAAGTATCTTTACAGTCAAACTAAAGAAATGTTTTTATAACCGAAGTTTGTTCAACTTCTAAGTAGCAAAGCATATGTTAAAATAGTAGCTTAGAAGTAAAGTCAAATTTTTGTAATTTTGTTCAAATTATTATTTCTTGCAATTTATTTATAATTTGAACGTTAGACTTAAAAAAAACTCCGATTTATATTAGGTATTCCTATATTTAATATTGTTCTGATTATTCTTTATTATATTTCAATCATGGGGTAGTGATTTTGACTTCATCTTAAAAACTGCGGTAAATCATCGATTACTGATAAATATCTATGCTATTTTCAGTTACATAACATTGTCCTGGTTGACTATTGTTCACAATTTGAAAATATGAACTCCACATTATGGATAATGAACTTACTTAACAAAACGATATTTATTCTTTATTAAGTAAGGGTATAAACAACTCGAAAATAATTTATGGCAAAGTTGATTGTCAAGTTAAAGAAAGTCAACTTGATTTTCGTTTCTCATAATCAGTTTAGAAAGCATTCACTAATGCGTTTTTTTTGTCAACTGAATAGTTTGAATGAGCCTGTTATACTTCAGCAGTTAAAACATATAACTTACAGGATTAGTCATAACTACTCGAATAATGTAAAGGAATTACTGAGTACTTTTAAAGAATACAGAAAAATGACTAACTCAACAGTCAAAGCAGTGGAAACACCTTTGTAATACACAGCCTTGAAACTCATATTGATTGGATTTGTTATATCCTAGTGAAGATGAAATTATGAGTAACTTCTGAGACCTATTATTGAACTAATATTATTTATATATACTTATGGTATAACCATCCAGTAACTAGATTGTGTATATTTATATTCTTCATATTATAAACCTTATTTTGACCTATAATTTATCATTTCACGATTTACTGTTCTTAAATTATACTCAGTTTATTAATTACTGTCTCCCACGTTCATAGCCACTTTTGGCTTTATCGTGTATAAATGTTATTTCCAATTTTATGGTGAGATGAGGTCTCATTGGCTGGTAATATAAACCAAGTATGTCTGAAATAAATGATTCGCAGAGCGGAAGCTGTTATTGGTGTTCTGAACTCAACTGGACGGGCTAGGCGAACATAGGACCAATGAGGACTCTAGGCTGATCAGACCGGTTGAGCGTCATTGGTTTAATACAGTAGAAGAGTGAATAAATCGTATTTTGATAGGTGAATAAGTTACGTGATAACTAGCCGAACTTAAAGTCACACCAGGATTCCACTATGAACGAGTGAGAAAATAGAAACAGGAACATTTGTAAGCTATTCTTTACTGAATCAGCATATAAATAATTGATTTGTAGTATGTTGGTAATGTCTTAACTGTAAGCTTTCATTTGACTCATTAAGTGTTGTTGTACGTTTTTCCATTCAAAAATTACTAATAATCAACGATAAACTTCTTATTTGGATTTGTAATATGAATGTCTTATTTCGTATATAGTGTGATTTATTATTCACGGTTCATCATAGTCTTGTACTTCGTGCATATAAAAGAATGGATTTTTCAGCCTGAATAATACAAAATAGTGCAAGGTACATTTCTCGGAGTTCTGGTTGGTAACTTAGGGAGCGGACTGACATATTTCACTGTTTATCGTTCGTTTTACAATATCCATTAACTGCGTTAACTTATTCGTATCTAATGAGGCCTAGGCAGAGCACAGATGTAACAGACTCAGTTGTGAGAGATTAATGTGGTTACCGGTAATGTTTTAATGGGTATACTTTTAAAAAGACTATATTAAATGCTGTAATTGATCCTTTTGATAGATGAATTCAAACACAGTAGTTTTTTTAACTGCTTAGTAATGCACAGTATTCTTCTTCCAAGAAGTAATTCAGATATTTCAAATAATAATCTATCATTAACTTCCGTTGAAGTGACTCAATACCACTTTATTATTCAATAAAGTAGTTATACTGAATCTTGAATTTAATGTGATATAAGCATGAGTGGAGTGGCATCTCCCGACTGACTGGTATTCGAAATCCAACAAGTATATTGATTATTCAAGGCTGGAATAACATTAGTAATGTACTTAACCCCAACATTGAATGGCATATGTTGATAATAACTTAAAGACTTTTAAATCTTTTATAATTAAAAATATATCTTATTAATCAGTGCTAATGTTTCACAAACATGTGCTTGACACACTTCTATCCTCTCGGTATATTGGGATAGATACATTCTAGTTATATACTTTTTGTCGCACTATCCTCTTTCACTACTTTATATTGGTCAGGTAGTTTATCGTTCTCACGTCAAATATATTTTCAACATGTATACATGCATGTGTATAATTAAGACTGACTATAGTGCTGTTCTGTTGAGCTCAGAAAGCCTTATTTTTTTCACGATAGAGTTATATCAGAATATTGTTTAGTTGATCTTTGTTTCACATTTGTTGGCAAGGAACCTACATTTAATTTGTGTTTTAATGCTAGGTGATTGAAGACAATCAACACAAACATCCAGACTCTGGTTTTGTGCTTGTTATAATATCTCTTATTATGAATGAGCTACTCTTATTGCTTAGTGTTCTTTAAACACTTAGATTCACTCGACAAGTCCCCAAATCAGAACACAGATGAAAACAAGATGGAATAGTGAATCACAATAAGAAAAACTTTAGTATATTCATAATTTAACAAAAGAGTATTCTACAGTTTTCTCCAAGTATCCGCTAGCACTACATGTCCAAGAAATGTCTAATCAGTGTGGCACAACACAATCCTGAACGCAATATGTGTTAATCCAATCTTTATACCTATACTAGTGATCGTCAAGACTAGTCAGTGAAACTTATCTGTAATCGTCAAGGAAGTGACAATCTTCAAAGTGTATGAGCCTGCGTCAACCAATGTCATATAAACAGTACCACTAATCTATTTAGCCTGTATGGGTAGCTCTCGACTACGTTGCATTAAAACATGTTAAGTTACTTAGATTAGTGAGCGGTTTTCAACAAAATCGATAGAATCTCATTTTGATTAAGAACCAGAAAAACATGATATTCGTTAGAATTAAGAGATCACTTACTTTGTTTGCGAATTTTATCTTAAAGGACTATTTTTCCCTCATAGAAACTCTTATCTTTTTGTGCTATGTAACATCGGTTTTAGTCTAGAATAAGTTTGGTTTTCCTTGAATATATATAAAATGCATCGTTAGTTAATAGGTTTTCATAAATATAAGAAAGAAGTCAGTCGGGTAATTTGTCAATATTTTCTCAATCTCTTTAGAATTTATTTGATTAGCATAATGATTATATTTTCATCCCACGTATTCATATTGTACGCATTACGCACAAAATATTTTGTCTCTGCTATTCTAATATCTATTGACTTCGTAGAATCAGCATCATTCCCATAACCTTGAGCTTGAAATCACATTGCACATCGAATGTAAATCGCTATTTCTTCAATGAACCAATTACTTTAAAGAAAAATACCTTCAAGATCACTTTTAATATATATATATGAATTCTTAAGCGGGAATTTCAGTAATTACTAGTATTCATCAACAAAATTCATCTAGAATGCTATGACATAACTATCTCTTTAAACTAGCTTATTTCAAAGTCATATATCAAATAATACAACTTTTAGCTTTGGATGACGTAAAATTGAAAATATGTTAAAATTAGTAATAACGATACTGAAATTCAGCTTACTAAAAATAACACGTTCCTTTTTGAGAGCAATGTTCAGCACAAATTTCTTCACCAACATCATTTATGAATCAATAGCATTATAAGGTGGTCTGTTGGCATAGTAACATATCATTGAAACTTTTTTGTCACTCATACAGTAGCTCATTAGGTACAAGTCTGAGGATCAGAAATCTATGCTTTTGAAGAGATCTAAAACAAGTTGAAACAAATTTCAAGTTCATTTTTTTCCCAGATATTTTAATTTCGGCGTCTACTTTTGTTTGGTTTTAACTATTATATTCTCAAGTGTCTGTACAATAATCTTTTATGAACTAATTTTTCTGAGTCAAAGAGTTTTTTTAATTATACAGTTGACAGTTTTTTCTGCTGTTTTGTTTGTCAGTGATTCGTATGATGTATGCGTTTACTTGTTCAAAACTTTTGTTTTAAAAATAAAAATATCACGATTGAATTATAATGACCTAAATATGTATTTGTTTGCTTTGTTTTTAAAACAAGGTTATTGGAAATTTATCACGTATCATTTATCTAAAAAGTTTGTAAACTTAAGCAATTCCGTCATTTGATAGAACAAGTACTTTCTTTTGTTTTCTTGTAACAAGTTAACGTAAAAATGTGTTTAAAAACATTACGTCATTGAAACTAGAATTGTTCTCTAGCTTGACTACAAAATGTTTATCTATCGGTAAATTATGTGATTTTCTCATTTATAGAGAAATTGAAAGTTTGTTTTCTTCACTTATCTGTCTATTCCCTTTCCTGGTTGAAGTACATATATTTTCGAAAATAAGTTATTCACTTAAGAATTCAGATGGTTTCATATTGTTAATTTTTTTGACAAATAATTCATTCAGAATATATTCAAGAACCATTACTTGGTGAAACGTTACCTTCTGAATTCCAAACACAACAACAAGAAGAAATGAACATACCGTCAAAATCAGTCACTAGATTACGTGCACAAAAAGTGGGGTCTGGATCATATAAACCATTGGAACGTAGATGGATTTGGATTAAATTTTTAAGTGGACCGTAAGTTATTGTAATGTTCAAATAGAAACTAGCGTCTTTCTCCATTAATGCTGACTGTTTCATAGTTTTAAGATAAAATTTAATTGCTTAAACGCTTGACTATCTCTGATGTACAGGTCAAAACTGTCACTATGCTACTAGAAAAGAAAGAGGTTAATATGGACCAGTTTTTATGAGTGAGTGGACTATTAGTCTAGTCATGATCTCGGTCAACATGTTCGTGTTCTTCTAGAAACCAGCAACTAAGAGTGACGTGCGGACATTATTATTTTACTTCTGGGAATAATGTTTCTCACGTTATCTTGACCCGCTTCTTCTTTACAGCTGACTAGTCAACAGTTATGAATGTGAAAGTGACTGAATTGAGACTGCATAACATAACGGTTTTCGAGATATTAAAAGATTTAATTCACTTCTCTTAATTCGTAGTTTATTTGTGTAAATGGTAATGCTTTGCTTCCTAACTTCACATCCTATCATGGCCATTACAAATACGTTGCAAGAGATTCACAAATTGAGGCTCGTAAGTTATCTACAGATACTAAAGCTAAATACTTTGTTAACTTTTAAGTAATGAATGTAAGATGGTGTTTAGTTTCTTATGATACTGTTTATCTATTTTTTGAAAACTTCAAATTTATATCCTCCAAAGTTACTACCTATCATTATTACAAGCGTTTGGTTCATAAACGTCCCAATTTCTATGGCCCTTAATTATTTGATCTCTTGGGAAGGATAAAGCTGTTAGATTTTGGCACGTTTGTAGTCAAAATATAAGTTTTCGTTTCTTCTCAAAGTCTAGAATACTATATTTAGCGGTTATACCTAATGTAACTGTAGTGAACACGAGCACCAGTGAGGACGAACGAATGTGTTTAACACAAAATTACAGGACTTGCTAATAAAATCTAATAATCATAAAGTAAATGCCTTATTTGCAAAATGTCCATCGATTGTCTTAAAATTACTCAGACTTCATTGCTCTTGTATTTTCATACAAATTGCATCCTGATTTCATTCTTTACTGTTTGATCCTCTTGTCTCTCTGCTGCCAGACCTTCTGTTCACGACTAACATCATATACTACTTATGTCAATATAAGTAGCAAACACCACATAACTACATATATGTAATCGAATTTAAAATTATCATGAAACATATTTCATATCTAGGAGATTCTTAAAGCCTCACAACATCGAACAAGTTTCCTTTTCTTTTAAATGTAATTAACGTATTTAACAACTGGAAGAAATCCACTGTGATTATCATCAAACCTATTATCATAACTGGTCTATAATTAATCGGTTATTTCATACGAGCTAACATATCTCTTTATAAATGTAGACCAGTGTTGTAAATCTAACTAGGAGTCATAAATTATTTCCTCAATATAGGTCAACCGTGAGAGTTAAAGTAAGAAAGTACACATTTTCCTCCCTCCCAGATATAAATAGAAGTTGAACTAAGAGAAATAGAATATCTAAGAAATAAATTTTTATTTTTAAAATTTAACCGAACTTCGCCAGGTTATATTTTTTAGTGAAATGCCTTGTTTGGACTGAAATACCAAATAATCATGAAAATAAGAAAATAGCTTGTCCACGGTATTAAAAGTCAACATGAAATAGTCATGAACAAACAGTTTTATAAGATTTTGGCTACTTAATATGAAATAATATAATCATCAACAAGACAATTAAAAGCGAAATCGTAAAATCACTTGACAAGTATGATATCTGCTGCATGTTAAGTATCTACACTAAGTTTGGGTAGGTCAATGATAGTCAAGAAACCGATATTTCCTGTAAAACTTAAGAAATTCCAAGTTCAAGAAATAATGCGCAAATATATATCAAAACAAAATGGTATATTCATCAATAAATATAAAAACTTGAAGAGTATTTTATGGCTTATCACACCTGCAAGATATTATATCTTGAGATACTAAAGAAGATTTAAAGCTCAGACAGATTTCACTGAAATTATATTTCCTAAGCTGGCTACTTCAACCCCAAAGCTTTAATTTGCTTTCTAAACAAAATTATTAGCACGAAACTTAGAAGTTTATCCTGATTTTGCTGTATGAAATGAAAGTTTGACGACTAAACCGTTTGGCTCAAAGAACACAATTTTAAGAACAAAACCAAGTCGGTATTTTTTTAAATAGAAAATTTGACTTCTTGACTTCATGTAATATGCATCCACATGGCCAAAATATATTGTTTAATCCGTTAGAATATCAATTAGGCACTTTTATCGTACAGTATAAAATTCATTTGACAGTAATTCATTAAAGAAACAAAGCTATATAGTTTACTCAGTTAAAAATGACAGTTTCAGAAAATTAATATCACAATTCTACTAGTAAATTAGAATGTTGATAGATCAGTAATTTAGTAAAAAATTACATACAGTGTAAATAAATTGATCTTAGTTACTTGATTTTATCTTCATCTTTATCAGTTAAGTCCTTTTTTTATTTCAATAGAATAACCAATCAAGAAGCACAACTCATTGTACTTAAAATATCACAGGATTTAAAGCTGACATCTCCAATTTCATTTTTTTTGTAAGTTTCAAAACGTTTTTTCTTAGTTATTTAATGAAGACATGATGAGTATCCATTTTGTTTTATTCTCATTTTATTATACCGGTAGTTAATGATTAATTATTATCATCATTAATTTTTTTTTCATTGTTAAATATGATTTACACAGATTTAAATCATGAGTCAGTTGAAGCTAGACCACCATTGAAAACCTGGAAGCACTGGACGGCCGTTTCGTCCTAGTATGGGACTCCTCAGCAGTGCGCATCCACGATCCCGCACCACGCGGGGCTCGAACCCAGGACCTACTGGCTTCGCGCGCGAGCACTTAACCATTAGACCACTGAGCCGGCATCCAACGGTGTTAATGTCTAACTTCAACCAATCCACGAAGTTGCGCCACCATATACCATTGTCTTCAGTGAGCTGATATCTCACAACAGACCTGGTTGAACTCCACTGGTAACGGCTTCCCACTAGAACTCCACAAACCCCTTCTGAAAATATGATTTACATTATTTTGCTTGAAAGTTAAAACAGTGAATATTTTTCAGAGTTTACAATTCCTTGATTGCATTATTTGATTCCAAGTTTAATGAAGAAATGAATATTGAATGAAAAGTACGACCAAACATTATTTAATTGGGTAATTCATATTAATTTTCTATTTTCTTACAAGATAACTTTCATCATGAACTAATGTTATCTGTAAAATTTATCATTCAAATAATCTTAGATATTGAAATTCAAATACTTTTAAAGTTTCATCCGGCAAACTGTCCTGAGCTTCTTTAAGGGAATAATTAATTTTCATGTTGATTAATTCCCTGAAACATTTAATCGGGTGGAGATTTAAAATTAAATAAATTTTATTTACTGAGAATTTTTCAAATATAATTTTTACATATCACTCCTTTCAATTACTTAATTCCTAATCTCTGTTAAACTGTTCGTTCAAATTCTGACAGATTTTCATATAAAATAGACTTATTTAGAGTATAAACTTGTTCTGTACAACCTTAGTTTTGTTTAGCACAAAACGGTTTATTTCCGAAGTTAATGGTCTCTGCTTATATAGGGACCAGAACGAGATTAAGACTTATATTTCTGGTTCATGATAAACTTTTGAATACCTATTAATTGAAACATAAAATTAGTCTCTGCTATCTATTGCCACATTGTTTCTCTCTCTACGATTTTCTTTAACAAATTTAGCCTTGATAAATCGAGACGTGTATTATACTTTCATGTTCCATCTAGTGCTGGAGTGTCCGCTGATACTATTGTTGATGCTCTTAGTAAGCGAAACCAATATTTTTAATGATTATTATTTCAATCTGTTCATCATGATAATATAAAATTAATTAAGATAGGATATTATGTAAAACAATATTGATATAAATAAATCAGTATACAGAACATTATCTTTTGAAAAGAAAATGTAAACGAGTAGAGAATAAACAGTACAATGAATGATAATTATTCCAGAGTATATGCTAAATTGCTTATCAGCATCTCTAAACGTCAGAAAATCTAACAGTATTTTTGAATTAAGACAAGCATGAAAAATATAATCTGACTGATTAATGCATTATAAAGATGATTATTCGCTAACCTATTTAGATTATTTGCATTTTTCTTCAACGATTTGTTTCATTTACTTGTAAAAATTTGATTTCTATAAATAGATGTAGAACATATAGAAATTTTTACTAATAATACTACAAAAAATTGGTGATACTGAAGATTTTTATGATCCGTAGCTGATAAGATTACATATCTAACTAGTTAACGAGCTAATTTTGTATGATATTTTGTACGTCGCAAATATAAATGTACTGATTTCGTGAAGAAATGTCTATTGGCGACTTAGTGTATTTAATTTTACTTAATTTTAAAGTAGACATCTATTAGACTGATTCCTTTCGTGGAATCAGCAAAATATTTCATCATCTATTAAACTTAATTTGCAATTTACTAACTCACTGAAATCAAAGTTTCACCTCCGAGAACAAGATTCCTATAAAAGGTTTATCTTTATAAATTCGTTTTTCCCATGCCCCGTTAAAACGAATCACATTTAACTTATCAAGAATAATGACCATTATTTGAAGGAAAGTTAAATCATTCAAATGGTTACTGATTCCTACTTTGTAAAAATATCATGTTCGACATTTTATATAGACTTAGATTTAGTTAACATGTGAAATGAATGTGACTGATTTACGTATTATTATTTGATAAGTAATATTACCCAGTGGAGCTTGCAAAAGAAAGTGAATATCTTCACACAATAATATTTGGATTGATACTAAAAAGTTAATACATAGAGTCAAATGTATAATATGTCGTTTGCGCTGTAACTGGAGATTTTAGATCAAATAGAAGAGATTTAGCCACAGCGAGATGATACTTGAATGCAAATCATTATTGACATATTACAGTCAATCTAGTTTATTAAAATAATAATACATGTCATTCAAGTGTGAAGAAAAACAAAATCTAAGTAAGTCCTGGCTATTATCTCAAAAGATGATCTAATTTCTATAGAACCTGGTGAATATAAGTTTGATTGTGACTATAGTATTGGAAAAAAGTAATTGTCCGGTCTTAATCTTCGTCTTATCCATATAGATTCGTAACTTGAAATGTATTTATTAGTTAAAACTATTTTATTAAAGAGAAAACAATGTATTGATTCAATATCATCTGGTTGATTATCCCTAATTCAGAGATTTTTAATTGAAATTTTAATTTATTTAAATAAGCCTAAATATCTGTTATTGACCAAATCAAGTAGTTAGAAATAATTTATATTTTGCAGAATACTCTTGTACGGCTGTCGATCCTTATTAAACTAATATAAATGGTCTCCAAACAGTGATGCGTTTTAATAACATATGAAATAAGCATTTGGTTCACTTCACTACCAATATGAAAGTGTTTAATTTTTGTGATATGAGCTATTGGATTTTACAAAACTAATAACAGAGAAACTTCATAAACAGAATTCACATGGTTTCGTCCATTTTATCTAATAATAAGGATGATTCTAAGCGAAACTGCACGTTGTTCTACCAAGACACAAAGATGGATGAACCTATTAGTAGAATAATTAGGGTTTGATAAAAAACCCTAACCACTTATTTGAGAGAACAACTGTCTGCAAAGTTATTTATCATCTCAGTATGACAGCTATCCCCAAAATAGTTATCAACGATGAAACCATCAATGGTTATTATCAGCGGGTTTATAGCTTAAGCAAGAATTTTAAAAATATGCACATGATTAAGAAAATGTAATTTGTAAAAGTGCAAATGGGTTCCTTAAAAACAGTGGTACCCATCTTGGTGTTATTGATATTAGTAAAGTATGAGAAGAATGAAGTGAAAATTTTAAACTAAAACCTTCAGGATCTCGTACTCTTTCGAAGAAAAAGCAAATAAACAAAAATATAACATAAAAAACAGCGAAGTTAAGCATATTTCTACAAGTTATTTCAAACTCAAGGTTAAAATTGACATTTCAAGATAATGTAAAGAAGAAATAATTGGAAAGCATACAAAAATTAATTAACTTATTTAGTGAGGATTTTTTTATTTCAAGTTGTGCGTGAAAATAGGGAAATAAACTCCTAAGTCTGGAATGCACTAGATATCTATTTGCAGTCAGTAAATTAATCTCTATTTCCATTTTAGCCAAATTTGGATTTTAAAGATATTTTTTTAATTTTACATATTTCTTTTCTTCTCAGATACAAATATAAATTTAATAGATGGTTATCCAATTGAAGATGTTGGGTTTGGCCGTGGAGTAAGTTCGAACTTATTGTTATTATTATTATCTGCTTTATTCAATATTATATTTTTGGTACAATATAGAATTCTTAGCGCAAAGTATTTCAACAAGTTTCCGTTTCTTTCTTCTTGGTCGGTCCCGGTAATAAATATTGAATGATCGCCAGTTAGATGTTAGCACTTCAGTATATTGCCAGTAACCACATTGTCTCTTATTGAGCTTTTTGTAACTTTGACAACGAAAGGTTGTACACTTTTCAGAAACGCAGCAGGATAGGTTATGCGATTAATAAACATAATGATATATTAAGACAAACAAAAATAGATAACTTGTTGAAATATCTAGATGGCAGGAAAAGGTAGCCCAGATGCTCAATAAAAATTGATTTTACACTCTATGAATTACCACTGAATAAGAATTAAGTATAACACTATTCAAACATAAGTCATACTGTTTGGTGTTAACTGAGTACTTGTTGTTTACATATTACGCTAAAACAAGTTTTGTTAAATTGACAAACTGATCCAAGCTAAGCACTTATTTTAATTAGAGAAACAATGTTGAACTTAAAACTTGAAATGGTTAATCGGAGTCAATGAGGAATGTGAAACCAAGTCAACTAATTCTGTAAGCTGTAAATTCACAAATGTATGTACACACTATTTTAAAAGTGGTAACATAATTTGCTTGTCATCAATAATAGTTTGTCGAGAATAGTAATAAAGAATTTAAAACTCTAAGAGTGCTATTATAATCTAATATAGATATTCCTAGATCTGAAGGACTAATTTGAGAATACCAAAAATGTATAGCTACGAAACAACATACTATAAATTAAGTGGTGTAATGTAATCAGAACTTAGTTCAGAATCGTAAAAAAATCTACTTGATATAAATTGTTACCGGCGTAAGAGAGGGAGTTGTTTATAAGTATGATTATCAGTAGCCTTGTTTTAGAGGGGTTTGAATCAGTCCGATGGGTCTATTTGTAGAAATTATGGAAGTAAAATCCTGTGCACTGTGGATGTATTAAATTTATCAGTACCATACGAAACAACAACAAAATTATTTTAATGAATGATGGTTCTAGCTAATTCTTATTAACTGGATATGATATTGTTTTGTCAGTTAATTATAATTTTAATGACCTTGGGCAAGTTATTGAATTAATACAGAGATATAATATATAAAAAGGAATAAATATGCAAGATATATACATGTCATTTGCACTTTTTGTCTTAATCCGTCTCGAGGTGTGTTAGATAGATCTAAATCACTTACATACGATAGTTTTTATTATAGTTCATTCCATCAAGGTTTTTTTCTTCAATACATTTTGGCAGGTCACAATGTCTTTGAAAATACTGAGTAGGAAACAATGTCATGCTTATCTGATCCTTTATTACTTCTCGAATTCCACAAATTAAGTAGTACTGTGGCTCCCAGTCTAACTGACTTGACATCGTGTGCACTATGTTGAGGTAATGGATGGTTGAAGATAATTGACTGGAAACTCCAGACCTAGATTTAGTGCTAGCTGGCACTCGTTAACAAAGTGTACCAGAAATCTTGAGGAATCTCGTGCTCCATGCACGGTTCGAATCCTCCAAAATCTGAGACGTTACCACTGAGCCAAACAATGTTCGCAGTTTCTTACCGATTACCTCTAACAACTAAAAAAGTAATTAAATATTCAATAGTTACTTTAGTAAATTTCTGAATTATCATATTTCCCTTTGAAAGGAAAAACATGATTATTAACACATTATTTGTTCCCTTTCCTTTCAATTATCTTTTACCCGATTATTTTGGGCTGAAAGGCTGTGAATACAGTAAATACATATTCCAGTACAAATGCTCCTACTGCGTCCCCCCAACCATCGCCTCTGCACCGTTCTGTCGACGATGAAAGTTTAAAAAATTTTGGTCATTTAAAATGGGAAAAATATACAATGACAATAATTCTATGTTCAAGCATACTTACTGCAGTTATTATACTCACAGCAATTTATATAGTTCAAATATGTCGAAAAAAGGTAATCAGTTTAAAACAAGACAATTTGATGTAAATTTGTTCATTTTCCTGTACTTCATGAGAAATATTTCGAATGAAGAATTGAAATGTTTGCAACTACCATGAAGAATTCAATGAAAAGTCAAGTAAAATAAACTCGTATAATAGTTAGAATGCATGTTATGCTTCAAAATACACTTCAATTGTAAACACCAGTGAAAGCTATGTTGGAGACATCCTATTGAATGAGTAAAGAAAGTTCAAAATGATATCAGCATTTGGTCATAGATTTGTTGGATAGTTATTATTGCAGCTCATCTATCTAAGTAACACTATTTAGTGAAAGCTTACATTTTGAAGTATTATTGTTGTGAAGAAAAAATTCACAGTATCAGTTCCAATCAAATATTTTGCTTATATGAATGATCCTATCACAATTCAATGTCACCAAAAAATAGTGAAGAGCGAATAATTAACTTATATCGCTTTTGAACCAATTACCAGCCTATATTCCTCACTGTTTTTAGATGTCAGAACATTTCACTTACACAATATCTTGATCTTATACGATGGAGTGATATTTTGAATGTAAAAATAAACATATCGCCTGAAGACTTATCGAACCATCTAGCTACCCAAGTGAGAAATGATTAACAGGAAACCTCTACCATAATAGTTAGGAATTACATTCGTGATGGATTTCTGAAATAATCAAAAGCTATCACCCATTGAATTTTAAACCATCTTAAAGTTGAGAAGGATAAAATTAACAAAACTGGATAATTTCTGGGCTATACTGAAAGTGCCCGTGAATATATCGATCACTCAGTTTTCGCCTAATAGTCTAAAAATGCCATGTTTTACTTAGGATCCAAAATCCTAAGGCTGAATTCTGTGTAGCGTTGATGAATTCTAACTATAAAATAGACTATTAAACAAGGAAATAGACAATTTTCCAGCAATATTTTTTACGGGGTAGTTTAAGTGGAAAAAACTCGTGAGTGTACATAGAAACTCCTATGATAGAGCGGTGATTTGAGTAGAGCAGTTGTATGATCTCACTCTCTTTCGTTTTAGATTGATTATTGATCAATTACATTTGTCAAACCATCTTATTTCTTTATACATATCAGTGGTATATGGAAGAAGTAATGCACACGGAATGAAATTAATCCACTTCACCCAATGATGTATGTTGTTTTTACTTAAAATGTTTATGAAAGGGATTAACTTCATGAAACTGTAGATTACAAGCCATTGTATTTTCTACAAAGCTAATGATTAATAAATCAAGTAAATGTTGTCTACCTTTAATTGTTAAACCAGTTTTTCATTTAAGGAGGTTAATTATGTATATTAAAACTTTAGGATATTGCTTCTTAAATTGTGTACAAATACTCTTGGTAGTAATTGAAATAATGGAAATTCCTTTAAAAAAAGATACAATAGACATGTGTTTTTTTATAATGATAAAAATATTGACCAGTTAATTCATACAATTTTATGATCATTCAACATTTAACTTTATGATTCTAGCGTAAATCTAAAAGTGAATCAAATGAAAAATTATCATGTCAATTAGATGATTCACCTCATTTAGAATGTAAAAAGCTTGCACACAATAATAATCTTTCTGGATCTCAACAAAGTAGTGTTTCATCATGGTAAATAATTTTATGTTTTTTAAAAATTCATTTTATAGTTCATAATTATTTTTAATGTACTCGTGATTTTACAAAATCTCATCTATCTAGTTTTGTGACAAGCATAAACGTATAAAATAACATCTAATCACCAGTATTTGAAAAAAGGCATCATGTAGCTACATGTTTTTACTCTTTTCCTTAAATCTTTACTAATTCAACTAGTCAGGAAATGTCTAGACAAATTACCAAATCTCATCATAGTTTTGTCATGATATCCATTTACTAATTGTTCATACAAAAACCATTTTAATAAATGTACTTATGGAAAATTATCATAAATACATATGACATGCTTCCGTTTAATAATAATACAGTTAGTAATTAAAACATACACTGAGTAAATTGATTATGATAATGACATTTAGTACATTCAATAATAATTTACTATCACATGAATCGACCAATCTGTTCAAAGACAACAACAATATTTTAAATTTACGCATGTGCTCAATGCACATAAACAATGGTAAAATAGAAAAATAACCTATGAAATTTAAGATATATGGCTAAATATTGACTAATTTTATTGATTTTTAAATCATAATTAAATAATTGGTCACTTTATTTGGACTAAGCTTATACATACGTATATAATATTTCCATAAATAGTTAACAATTATAATGAGTAATGAAACAAAATGAAACACATGAAATACAGAGTGATGAATCAGCAAAACATTTCGAGTCTAAGAATAGTCAAACTTCACGTATACCGGTTGAAACTGAATTGTTATTGTCTACAGATACAATGTGGGTTGTAAGACGTATGATCACTAATAATGAATCTAATACTCATGCATTACTACAAACATCAACTAATGAAAACTCATTGGAATCATTTCAAAGCTCTGGGAAAGATGCATCATTTTTATACACAGATGTTTTCATGTTAAATAAGTAAGTTAGCACTTATGTGTAAACAGTAAACAAATCAAAGATGTATAAATGTTCATTATATACATATAAATTGCAAAATTCGATAATCTCATAGTCTATATTATCTAAATACTCTTATACGAAACTAAGGTGGTTGGATTAACAAAAAATCAGAAACTGAATCAAGCCAATTTTGATTTATTTTTATCTATATTGAATTCATAAAGCAATTTTCATCAGCATTCAGTATACTACTTCATACAATAGTTTCTTGGAAAAATATAAAAATATTGTACTGTTATGTGATTAAAGTATCAATAAATGGAGGCTCAAATGGTCGTGCGGGAAAATAAACAGAAAGAAGTACTTCCTGCTAGAATAACCTAAATTCAAAATGAAACAGATTTCTTTTATTTCCAGAACGGTGGTAGTTGTTGGAATAATTTGTAAAAGAAATTGATGAAGAATGACTAATAAAATTATCCGCTTTCATGGAATCGTTTATAATCTCAATGCTATGTAATGTAACTTTAATTACTTATGATTTCGTTAAGTTAAAATGTAAAGCTTTCAAATTTACTGTAGTAATGCTAACTCGGAATTCATTGACTGTTCTTTTTCAATCGCTTGTACTTTATATAGCAATCTTATCAGAAAATCTTTTCTGCATCTATACTACAATAAATCACATCTATGAAACCATAAATTCACTTTATAAAATCCATTAATTAACTGATGTAAATAAGTGATCTAGGTATGGTTTGAAATTTGAAAACTGTTTTACTCTAGTTTAAGAAAATTCTGATCCATATCTTAGGCTTAAATCAATTATTGACGAACGGGAATTTTCTGTCAATATTACCATTTCGACTGAGTTCATGTTCACTGATGTTTGCGTCAATTGAAATGAGGTGATGTATGACAACCTTGTGGTATACAGTGATTATAGATGTCAAAGAATTAAACTTGATTGTGGCACAGTTGCCATGCCCTCAGACATTGAATTCATTGCAAAAATCGTACGAACCGGTTTTGTTGTATTTGTTGAGTCGAGTGATTTTCAATTTAAACATACACAAATCTGTAAACAGTGACCTATACGATTTCGAAACGTTAAGTATTAAGTATATGAAGTTCCTTACTGCCTTAAGAATATGAAAGTACTACAGCTTTCTTAATCAGCTTCTTATAGAATGTCATATATATATGTATATCCGCTGTTGACTACATATTTGACTTCAGTATTTCAGTTGATAAGGTGACTAGTTATTCAAATGTGATATTTTTAACTTATCTGATGGCCGTGTTAATTTTTATTGTCAGTGGGATCATAACCATAGGGAGGCCTGTGCGTGTTGTTCTATTGTGTGCTTGGTTCAGTGGGGCTGGTCTACTCAAGAGCTCTATCCAGCTGTTCGTCACATCTTGAATTTCAGTGAAGGATTAGCTTTCGTTGTTCCAGAGTGGTCGCTCTTGTTTATTATATTTCCTTGCTTGTTGTGTGGTTGGTTGTATTACATAGTTGTCTCATATTACCTTCTCTTACAGCTTTTCCGTTGTCAGTGTTAGGTCTTCCGCATATCTTTGCTTATCAGTCTTAATGCGCCTCTTTACGTGTTTGTTAACTTCAGTGTATTTGGCTTGTGCCTTTGTTCGGCTGCTGGTGATTTGTGTCTTCCTGTGCTTTTTTCTCCGAATTCTGTTCAGGCTATTTACAGACATCCATTCTTTATGGTGATGTTTCCTGAGGCACATCACCTCATGGCACATTGAAGGTGAGGCTTCTTTGATCCCTTTCCAGTTGTTCTCCATAGTGCTTTCCTCATCTAATGAGTCCTATAAGACTTGTAACTTATTACTTTGAGCTATCATGAATTTGCTGAGTTTGTTAGTATTTCGAAGGAATGCTGTATTGAACTTTTCTAGTGCTGTCTGTTCCTTTGTACAGTGCTTCTTCAGCTTTAGTTTCAACTTGGCCACTACCACTGATGTGAAGTGATATATATATATATATATATATATATATATATATATATATATATATATATATATATATATATATATACTGGCTTTTGTAACAAATTTCGATGGAGTTTTAAGTCAGTAGAAACACAAGTATTCACTCAATTATTTACTATTTTTGAATGTTCGGTGGGTATCTTTCAGATTAAAAAATTTCTACGAACAAAGATTCTTTCTTAAGGTTTGATGTGTTTTACTTCAACTTACCTATCATCAGCTTACAATAAATGTTACACTTCACTTCTGTTAAAATATTACACTTAATAAATATAAGATAAATCAGATGAATTCTTATCTTCGATTGAAATTAACAGATAATCTTACACAATGAGTATACATCAATTTCACTATTTAAAAGATAAATAAATTTATTTACTACTTATTTTTATTTAAATTAGTACATGAAATTAAAAGTAGTATATTCATTCTTTGTAGAATTTAAATTAACCAGATAAATGATTCGATTGAAATTTTAGGTCAAGTGAACCAATCCCATGTAGTATTGATGTTCCAACTGGACATATAATTTTAGTAAGTACATTATATCACTTAGCTGTTTTTTTAATTCTTTTCATATTTGCTAAATGTTTTAAAACAAATAAAAGGTATCAAAAATTTATTGTTTAATTAAAACTTTTGGTTTCTTTTTTAATCTTGTTTTAGTACTGTTGGTTATTTAGTTTTGTATGTATAATTATATTTTTAAAAAAGTTAGTAGAATCACCATTATATTGAGTTGATGTGGTAAAATAAGATTCGAAATACTTTATATGTACGCTATGATGTTTCGTTTTGCGTAAATCACAGTAAATCTGTTGAAGAAGTTGCCACCATATCCAGTCAAGAAAAACTGTCGAAAGCAGATATTGTTTAACTATATATGATAGGGTGAGCCAATGAGCAGTAGCCAAGTGACAAGGTCAAGTGCTCACCTTGGCTAGGAAATGGATTGATTTTTCAAAGGGGTATATATATATAATGGTTTTTGAAGTAGTTGCTACTGTAATGAGGGAGAAATTTTGATGATGATGAGCAGTAGACTTAGTTTGGTTGCCGAATTCAGTGATCGTGAGACAACATCAATCCATTTTTTCGACCGAGAAATATATTTACTGATCGTAATGCTTATATTATAAAGAAAAACACAAAAACTTTGTTTTAATAAGTGTAAACATCGTACGTAGTTCAGATGATTTAACTACTTGGCATTTCCTGGTCTTCATGCATCATATTATCTTGGGTTTTTTTGTTTATTTACTTTGTTGTCATTCCATGTTCTGGAATCCAGGAGCTTAAACAGAATGCCTTACTGCATGTCCATTTGCATTATTCCTGTTTTTTATGCATGGTAGGCATTTTCTAAAGATATATTATGGACTCAGGAGTAAAATAAAGACAAAGTATGGATGAAATGTCCCATCACTGGAGACAATTATGCATAAACATACAACCAAATCTTTCAAGGTCTTATGATTTGAAACCCTTCATTATTTATTGGTAATGTCCGTAGACCTAAGTCTGACTTGGTGAGAAACGTTAATTTAAAATTTGCATTATCAAACAGCTTTTTTTACTTTTATTTAGTCATATATGGAAAAACATTTACAAGATAGAAATCAGCTAACAGATGATTGGAATTCAATCGATAAGTATGTGTCTGAAGAAAATATTTTGTATGAAGAAGGTAAAAATCCTAAGAATCAGTTTAGGAATCGAGAATGTGCACCAATTCCATGTACGTTTCTCACTTAACTGTACTGTAAGTTCTAAATATATATATTTACCAGGTATTTAATGATTGTTAATTTCTGGGCATTTCTCTTCTACAAGGATAAATTTATTTAATTGATCAAAATTGCTAGTTAGTCATCTCTCTCGTACCATTAATCGATTTCAGGGACTATAGAAACAGTTTAAGGCTTTACAGTTTCCTCGTGAGCATAGCGAAACTGAATCTCTGGTGTTAAGTTAAACATACATACATTTTGAATTTAAGTTATTTTGGGTTACATTACATGACATTCATTATTTTTAACACTTGTGTAGTCATATTACCTGGATTATAGTAGTGTTAAGTGGTATCAATATAAAATTTTCAGGATTTTTAAATGATAATTTTGGACACCGAAACTTTTGACTACGCATAGTTTGAATGTGTTTTTAGATGAACAATCTCGAGTCAAACTTCGATCTGGTGATAACGATTACATTAATGGAAGTTTAATGGTAAGTATTTATATTATTACTGTAATTTTCATGTTTCTGATTATTCAAATGACGATGATTGATAATGAGATTCACTGGGAAAATATACAATAGACAAATTGTAGAAGGGTAATATAAGCTAGAAATAGAAAAGAAAACTAAAAAGTGCGTTATTTTTATTCTGCAAATCGTACTGTTGTTTCTTTTTAAAATCAATATTTAAACTCACCCATTATTTTCGCATACAATAAAATCTGTAAATCAAGTGTATCAATATATGGACATATTATTATATACGAAAACTCCGCCTGTAGCATCACACTACTGTCAATACCAGGGAAGGTCTTCAACAGAGTGTTGCTGAACCGGATGAAAGATGCAGTAGACGCCAAACTTCGGATTCCGTAAGGATCGATCGTGCACAGACCAAATTGCGACACTACGGATAATCGTGGAACTCGTCACTAGACATCAACTTCATTGATTATGAAAAGGCATTTGACTGTGGATAGGAGGACGTTATGGAAACTTCTTCGACACTACGGAGTTCCCGAGAAGATTGTCAACATCATCCGGAATTGATAGGATGGGTTACAGTGCAAAGTGGTGAATGGAGGACAACTGACAGACTGATTCCAAGTGAGAACCGGAGTCAGAAAAAGGCTGCTTACTCTCCACCTCCATCTTTCTTCTGGTGGTCGACTGGATTATGAGGACCTCGACATCTGAATGAAAACACGGAATACAATGGACAGCTCAAAATCAATTAGACGATTTGAACTTCGCAAATGACCTAGCTCTTCTATCACGTACACACGAACAGATGCAGACAAAGACAGCCAGTGTGGCAGCAGTCTCTGCATCAGTAGGCCTCAGCATACACAAAGGGAAAACGAAGGTCCTCAAATTCAAGGCGGAGAACAGCAATCCAATCACTCTTGATGGCGAAACTCTGGGAGATGCAGAATCCTTCACATACCTGGGAAGCATCATCGATAAACAAGGAGGCTCAGATGCAGACGTGAAGGCAAGGATTGGCAAAGCAAGGGTCACATTCCTACAATTTAAAAACATATGGAACTCAAAACAACTTCCAACCAATATCAAAGTGAGAATCTTCAATACGAACGTCAAGGCAGTTCTACTGTACGGAGCTGAAACTTGGAGAACTGCAACAACCACCATCAAGAAGGTACAAGTATTTATAAATAGCTGTCTACGCAAGATACTCAACATCCATTGGCCAGATACCATCAGTAGCGGCTTTTTGTGGGAGAACAAATCAGCTTCCAGCTGAAGAAGAAATTAGGAAAAGACGATGGAAATGGATAGGACATACATTACGCAAATCGTCAAACTGCATCACAAGATAAGCCCTAACTTAGAATCCTGAAGGGAAGCGGAAAAGAGAGAGGCCTAAGAACACATTACGTCGGATAATAGAAGTAGATATGAAAAGGATGAATAACAACTGGAAGGAGCTGGAAAGGATTGCCCAGGACAGGGTTGGATGGAGAATGCTGGTGAGCGGCCTATGCTCCTTCACGAGGAGTAACAGGCGTAAGTAATTAAGTAATTATATACGAAGTGTGTTTGCTGCAGAATATTATTTTAACAAAATTATTAGTTGGGTTAATTGTTACCGTACGATATTAATATATCAATATGAAGTGGAATTTCTACACTTGGACAGACAAATCTTGTGAAGACTGAAAAAAATCTAACAGTTTGAATTTTTATTTATAACTATACTGTCAATACCTCATTGAACAAACGTTACATGTTAAGAAACGTTACGGCTACTATAATTCATTAATTAAGTAAACAGTTCCTCATTAAGATATTTTTCGCAGTCGAATGTCAATATTATAAAATAACAAAATCGTATCAATTGTGCAGCGGTAAACAATGATACTATAAGCGTATTCATTCAAATATACCGTATTTTGATTGAGGAATTTTTTTATTTCGAATCTGTGATGATTGTAGAGAATAGCCTAAATTCTTTAAGCCACTTTAGATATTTATTAAATAGAATGTTTAAGTTTAAGGTGAGATTTATAAATTAGCTGCATCTCGTTACAATGACTTGGGGCTTGTGAAATTGAACACTAAAATACCCTATAGTACAACTACAAACTTTTAATTACCATGTTTTTGGTGATGTTTCATGTAAACCTCCATGAATTAGTCATCTAAAATAATATTTATTATTTTATAAAAGCATAAATCTAGAAAAAATTTTAAATGAACCACACACTAACATATTGTCTGATTTATATTTAAACTCATATAAAATTAGGAACAAGGTTCACCAAATTTTTTGAACTAACACAGCAGTTATCATTATTAAGTTCACTCGATGATTCAAATCGAACAAATGAATGAACCGTTAAACCCTAAAATCGAAGCACGGTCTGACTACAATACGGTACCGTTATTAACGGTGACATAAGTAATATATTTTAAAAGCCTCAATTACTGAGCTATTTCAGGTTTTTACTGAATCAACGGTCAGTCAAGGGAGATGTGCTTCCTGAATTATTGACAGGAAATACCGTGATGAAAACCAACAAACGTAATGAGAAATAAGTACATAAAATATGGAAACTGCCATTAATAAGTAGGTTTTCAACGAACAAACAACAAATTAAGAAAATACGTTTTTTAATTAATATTATGGGTCAGAATTAGGATTAAAGGTCAGCACTTAATTCATCGGGGAGTGAGTGTCTTACAAAAGTGATTTCTTCAACCAACTATGATATTTGATCATGTTCATCTTCTTATTAATAACTTGTACATGCTAATTCATCGTTTAAAAATATATTCTAACTAGTGATCTTATAATTTGACCTCACGTCATCCCGGGGTAGAGTAAGCTTACATCAATAACTTAATATCATGAGGACTCATCGTACGGCAGCTTATCGTTTGTTGATCAACATTATTTTTGCTTATCTTTACTATCAAAAGTCATTTTTATACAAGTATCAAAGGGACTATTAATAGAGGAATTACAAATGGATTAAATACCGTGAACAAACGCACAACAATCGACGTTTTTGACGGTATGCTAAAAAATGACTGACCATAATATTGGTTACTGAAAATTATTCAGTATTATAGTATGATACACAAAAGGCAACAGAGAGTGAAGTATGTTACGGTGAAAGGAACACATAGAATTAACATTTATTGCACTGAATTACAATATTTACGACAATTGGACTCAGTTTCAATACAGTTTAGTAAAAATTTTAAATGACAATAATTTTTAGACAAGTTGGGAGCATGATGCTCAAAGAATAATTTGACAGATATTACCACAGAAACCTCAAGTATCACGTCGTTATTAACTCAATATAAGATTAAGTTAGTTAAATAACACTAACTTAACGATGAACTGAGACAATCAGTTAACTAAAGCGTTTTTCCCCATATATTTATAAAACAGTATTACTTAGAATTCATTGAATTGTACTCAAATTATCTCAAAATATTTCACTTTATTTCCAATTAGTATGATACTAATCCAAGAAATCCTGTTTACATTGCTACAATTACGCCAACAGTTAAGTCAGTTCCAGAATTTTGGTTAATGGTTTGGGAACAAGGATGTGTTGTAATCGTTTGCTTGGAACGTATTGATGAATTAAAAAAAATGGATGAAATTGACCAGTTTGAATTGAACGATGCTTCAGTGAAATATTGGCCTAATGAAGGTAGTCAAGTTTATGGTTCTTTTGAAGTAAGTCTCACAAAAAGCAGTACCCATCTTATCCATTATATTAAGACAGTAGGATTGAGTCTCATATAGGATATACTGTATTAGTTGAATGTTTTAGCTTGTTACAGATTAAAGCTCTTTGGTAAATTTTAAAATCTTTTTGTTTGCTTGATAAATCCTGTGTTCAAACTGATTCATGAACGGCATGTTGACCTGATGAATCAATTTTGTCCTTAACGATAAATCACTGATCAAATCATTTTGGAGAGGAAATACAGAATATGGATTTTTAATCCATTTAATAAAGTGAAACTCCGCATGTAGCTCTTCTAGAAATACTGCCGGTCCCAAGACTGGGTAAATGAGGAGGATTGGGCATTGGGTCGCCAACCTCATCCTGTGGAAAAAAATCTTAGTATAAAACGCCAACCAGATTAAACAAATTAAACCATTTAAACTCTTGCCTGGGAATTGAACGAACAAAAATTGGTTATATGCGGCACAATTTTCCTACACAATCGCATACAGAAAGCTACATGAGTCTTACCGGATAACACCACGGAGAATCAGATAGATCATATTTGTATGAACAAAAAATTCAGAAAGACAATGTAATACATGAGAACCAGGAGAAGAGATAACATAACCTCAGGTCACCACCTGGTTGTGGCCAAAATGAAAGTGAAGCTAAAGAAACATTGGACAACTGGACAAACAGCGTTACAATGGTTAAATACAGTCTTTCTTCGAGCTACTAACAGACTCAAGGAATTCAAGATCACTTTCGAAAACAGGTTCCAAGCTTAACAAGATCTACTGAAAGAAAAAAATTACGATAGAAAATAACTGGAAAGCGGTCAAAGAAGCATTATCTTCAACGTGTCAGTAGGTGCTGGGCCGCAAGAAGCATCATTATAAGGAATGGATCTCCATCTAAACCCTGGACAAGATTCAGGTAAGAAAAAAACACGAAGACGAAATAAAACAATGTTCAAACAAGAACAGAGAAAGTCAAGTCACAGGCTAAATGCACAGAAGCAAACAAACAAGTGAAGAGAAGCATTAGGGCGGACAATCAGAAATAGGTGGAAGAGCTAGCAACGACAGCGGAAAAAGTCTCAAGAGAAGGAAATATGAGACATGGATTTGACACTGACAGGGAAATATGGTAAACCAGATTGACTGGTCAAGTACAAGAAGGAAAGCCAATCACTGAGATTCAAGGACAGAGAAACAGATGGGTAGAATACTTAAAGGAACTGTTGAATAGACCAGCTTCATTGAATCCGCCGGAAATCGAAGCAGCACTTACAAACCTTCCTATAGATGTCACTCCACAAACAATCGAAGAAGTCAGGATAGGCATCAGACAAACCAAGAGTGGGAAGCGACAGAACCTGACAATATACCAGATGAAGCTAGCGGTGAAGTCAGATATAGAAGTAACTGCAAGTATGCTTCACGCTCTATTCAGGAAGATTTGGGAAGAAGAACAAGTGCCAAAGAACTAGAAAGAAGGATATTTCATCAAGATAGCAAAGAAAGGAGATCTGAGCAAATGTGAGAACTACGGAGGCATCACACTACTGTCAGTATCAGGAAAAGTTATCAACATTGTGGCTGAACCGGATTAAAGATTCAGTAGATGCCCGAATTCGAGATCAGCAGGCTGGATTTCGTAAGGATCGTTCATGCATCAACCAAATCGCGACACTATGGATCATTATTGAACAATCAATCGAATGGAACTCATCACCATTCACCAACTTCCTTGACCATGAAAAGCGTTTAACAGTGTGGATAGGAGAACATTATGGAAACTTCTTCGACACCACGGTGAACCCGAGAAGGTCGCCAACATCATCCGGAATTGATAGGATGGGTTACAGCGCAAAGTGGTGAATGGAGGACAACTGACAGACTGATTCCAAGTGAGAACCGGTGTCAGAAAAAGGCTGCTTACTCTCCACCTCCATCTTTCTTCTGGTGGTCGACTGGATTTACCGAACAATGTAGAGAAAAACGTATCTGACTGCATTAGCTTGCAGATTTGGCACATCTTTTTTCTCTTCCATTTAGGGTCTAGCGTTGAGATTTTACGTTTATAGTAAAATTAGTCTTCAATTCTTTCTCCTGAGTTTTATTGCAAATTTTAAGTTAGTGAAATGAAACTAAACGTAATACTTTGTCATAAGTAACATAAAACTATGGAATTTCGGATCTCTTGGGGATACGATACAGTCGTTACATAAGAGGAATCACGAGAATTTCTATCTTTTGACAGGTACACCTGGTTTCGGAACACAGTTGGAGCGATAATTACATTATTCGTTCATTTTATCTTAAAAGCATTGTAACAAATGAAACACGTACTGTTACACAATTCCATTATCTTACATGGAAGGATGAGAATTTGAAAGAAAATAGTAAGCCTATGCTGGAATTCAGACGGTAAGTTTGATTGGATATATTAAATGATATTATTTACTTCGAAAAGTGTTTGTAGAGGTATGATTGCTTTTCCATTAGGAAACGATTATGTGCAGAACTATAACAGGAATGAAAACAGAACACACCTTTTATCTAAACATAAAATACTCCAACAAGGGTAGTGATCAGTGAGGAAGATATTCGACATTTAGCTCTTGTGGGTGCTACTTATCTCCAGGTTTATATGTAGGTATCTAAAATTTTAAGCCATCATCAGAATAAGAAGCCACACATAGAAGAATAGGTTTGTTGAATCCAAGTAATTTATATAATTATAACGTAGTTTAATCGTTTAACGTTAATGAACTCGCTAAAGATAAGTAGTCAGTTCGAAATCAATAAGTGAGTCAGTTTTCCTTGGAAAGTACGTTAAGACTATTTTCCAAATTTATAAAATAACAAGAAACTTTTGATGACTTGAGTAATCCGTGAATAAAATAACTCCACCATATAAACTACCAGGTATCATTATTGAATATGATACTTTCAATCAGAGAAAGTAGAAGTCACTAGTTTTATTCACTTATATATTTTCGTGTGTAAAACTTTTGTATTTACGTGAAAAACTTGGAGACTGTTACTAACTGACCTTTAAGAGAAAAACTAATTGTTTGTCTGTTTCTTTAAAACTTCAGGAAGGTCAATCGTTCATTCCGTGGAATGATGAGCCCTATTGTGGTTCACTGCCGGTGAGTAAAAATATTTCACCAAATCTTTTTACATATGAAGAATTCAACTAACAGTTTCTCCTTGCCACATAAAAAATAGCAGTGAACAATGAAATCTATGGTATTACATGCTGATGATCATAGATTTTATTCTGATGTTTACTGAAATGTTCAAGATGAATTTATCAGTCAGTCATTCACTCAGCCACAACGTTGGACTAGGCACATATATGCATCGACCCAAGTTGCCATACCTCATTAGCACAGTAAGATGAACACCGGATTCTTAGAAGTAGTTAATTCAATGATGGTAATATATAAAAGAAAGACTTCATATAAGGATATCGTACAGGAAGAAAGAATTAGTTCGTAGAAAGAAAGATATGAAGCGATTTTAATCTCTTAGTTTAAGGAAAGACAGAGAGTGTATACATCGACGCCATTGTGATCGATTCTGAGCTAGGTCACACAGAGTCCCCAACCAATGATTATGATGGTCACGCGGACCCCAACCAAGTAGTCTGTATCTACCAACATGGCTCAGGCCAGAAGTTAGTGACTTCAAGCACTGATGGCACGTTTTGGTTTGGCCGCCCCTGATTTTCTTCCAACCACCTCTAACACCCGATAACATTGCACAACGTGGTAATCGGTGTTCAGGCATACGTAACACGTGGCCCACCCATCTCAGTCAGTGAAGATTAAAAACTATTACTTACCCGGTAATCCCAGCAGATGCGAGCAATATTTCTAAGGCATCTGTGGTCAAATACTAGTAGCTTACAAATATCTTTACTCTTAATGCCCACGTTTCGCCGCCGTAAAGTAGAACAGAACGAACTGCCGCACTGTATACTCATCCTTTAATTGATAGACGAATATCTCGCCTTCGCCATAGGTGACGCAAGTTGGCAAAAGAGCTTTCCGAATCCGTGCTGAGATTTCGTCAGACACCAACCCATTAGAGCTGATTAGAATTCCAAGAAAAGCGTAGTTGTCGACGCGTTCGACTACTTTACTTAACAAGTATATGTGTGCTCAAATTGTTCGGAATGTATTGCGCTAACATATCACATAGTTCTGATAATCTTCGTCTTTTTAGTACATTATCGAAATTTATCAACGGAACTAACTGCTTTAAATATAAGTGAGTATTTATACACGTACTCGGTAGCCAATAGACTTTCTTTCAATCTTATGTTCTAATTCAGTGGTTGGCTGCGCGTAGCACGGTGTATCAGATCAGACCTCGGAGACTTTCCATCATAACAGAGTTCTTACCGTAATTTAGTTTCTTACGTTACTAGGGTTAATTGTGAATAACTGTTTTCTGGATTCGGTCGCACGAAGTACTGTAGTATGTTGACTAAAAACCACTACCTTTTGCAACACAAGAGAAAAGATGGAACATAATAAATAAAAGGTATAGGAATAACATGAAAAACAACATTAATAGGGAAAAAGAAATAATAACGTACAAATGTTCAGTAGTCAAAGGTGAAGAATGAATGGATTGACTATTTGGACTAATCACAATCAATAACATGCAATTTCTTATCTCTACGTTGCTTTTAAAGCTTTGAGACTAACAACCGGAAAAAGAAAAGTTCCTTTCACTCAATCCAACTCAGTTTTCAGTATACTTGGCTTCAAGCCACAATTCATGTATGAAAGGTAGCGATACCAACCAGTTGCCTAAAGGAGGTGCAAAGGAATAGATTTAGTAAACTAATGACTGGAAGTCAAACGAATTGAATACTAAGCCACCTCTGGTTGTTTTGGCTTTTATTGTTTATTATGATGAATGACAGGACGCAGACGGTTTGTCTAGGATACTGTTATGGCTTTGTATGTCTGGTTTTTCTATCGCACGACTTATCTACCAATCCGAATACGACTTATACGAATCTTCACACTAGGCCAACCAATGACGTTCGACCGGTGTGGGCAGTTTAGCGTCCTTATTGGTCCTATGTCCTACGAGCCCTTCCACTTGAGTCCAGAACAAGATACCAGCTTCCGAATCAGAGCAGATCGTTTATTTCAGGCATACTTGGTTTATATATCAATCACACAGACCACAACGTACCATAAAATAGGAAATAATATTTGTACACAAATAAGCCCAAAAAGTGGCTGTGAATGTGGGAGGCAGTAGTTAATAAACTGAACATAACTTAAGAACCGTAAATCGTACAATAATAAATTATAGGCCAAACTAAAGCTTGTCATAAGAGGGATATAAATATACATAATGTAATTGTTGAATAGTTATACAATAAGAATATTTATAGAATATTAGTCCATGAATAGTCCTCGGAAGTTACCTGTAATTTAATCTCCACTCGGATATAACAGATACCACGTATAAGAGTTACGCACCATTCATTTTTAAACAAAATAAATTTACAATTCCTACTGGCTTACAGATGGAATTTCTATTAATTATATTCTTAGTGATGGATGCGGACGAACAGGTGCATATATTTTATTAGATTTGGTCCTGAATCGTATCACTAAAGGTGTTAAAGAAATTGACATAGCTGCTTCACTGGAACATCTAAGAGATCAAAGGCCAGATATGATTAAAACATTGGTAAGTTTCTTATTTTTTGTAAAAGAAAAGGGACTAAATATTGTCCAATTCAGTTCTTGTTCATTCCAATTCTTAGGTTTTAGATCCTAAGAATATGAAAAAATAATGAGATATTACCATTTAAGTGATATAGATTTAGTTAGATGGTGCGTGCATGGATCTGTAGTTTCTATTAGCTATTTTGAATACAAAAAGCTCCTTTCTGTTGAAGTTATCGTTTTTTATTTTAGCAAACGTGCAATTTTAGGTGACGAGCTAGTTCTATCGTTAGTCAATGAACAGGAAACTATGCGGCTGTTTCTATTGTTTGTAAGCAAGTATCCCAGAAGGGACGTACCTGAAACAGTTAACCATATCGAGACCGAGTATACCTTCTCAGATCATGATAATTCTCTTGAATGAACCAGTGCAACCGTTTGGTTATCCATCTAAAATTGTTACTATATTTTGTGATGTACAGCCGATGTCGCGAATTATACTTATGTGAAGGCAAGATAGCTTGTCCTTACGACATGGAACAATCAAGAATGTTAACAGTCTGTGATCTGATTTTTTATCGAAACCTTAGGACCAGTATGCGTTGCATCCAACTACTTGTATCTTTTAGTAGTATGATTTCCATATTAATGTAGACATTTTATTACCTTCTTATGCACAGTGGAAATCTTACTTGCTTACTAATTGATGACAAATTCTGGAACAGATTTTTTGATATAGAAATTCTTTGATTTCCACGAATGATTGATATTACGAAATTTAACTGCCCGAACAGCCTCCAGATTCAGTATACAGGGTGAAGAAAGCCGTTTCATGTATTCATATGACACTGCAAATTAGAAAACAGATCGCGACTTGATTTAAACTAAGTCGTCCCTATATTATTATGAATGAAATGTTCTATGATTCAGTTTGAATTATATTACCTGAATGTTGTGTGGAACAAGCACATAAATGTGCTAACTTGATCGTATGGAGAACGATTATTTTACTACTTAAGTATGACTAGGAGCTTTCATTTGACCACAATACTTCGTACTTGTTTTATTTTAGGAGCAGTATGAGTTTGTTCTCTCATCAACTGCTGAAGAAGTAGATGCAATGCTCCAACCAAGTACATGAAAAAATGACAAAGAACGCCTTTAAAAAAGTCAGGACAAAAATTTACAGTATCATTTGATGTTACATTCAAATTCAATGAGATACATGTGAAATTTGAGAATAAACTGAAATATCGAATCATGCACATAAAACAACTCTTTTATTCTCAAATGGGTGATCACATTGCACCTGGATTTCAACAAAATTGATTTTAGTAGTGAATTAAGTCATGGATACACGTACGCTAGGGAAATAGGTATGAAACCTAGAACTTTATATTGCTGTCGCTGTCACTTAAATACTTAACGGTAAGAGTTTATTCAGTTTGAAGTAATTATTTGTGAGCCCCAAGTTAACGTCAATAAAACTTTCAACTAATTTATTCATGAAGTATTTATGTACGAACCAAATTGTAAGTGCCAGGGATAATGATACCGTTCAGAGATGATTATACCTGGGGCTTAGCAAACGAAAGTCGAGCGTCTTAAGCAATAGGTCAATGCTCCGTGAAGCTCTCGTCTAGTGAGACAAACTATCACAATAAAAACACGCGTTGGGAATGCCTTAGCCGTCACCGTGACGAAGTGCGTCTTCTAGTTCGAACGACTTCAACCAACAAATACTATTAATATCCCTTAATTTGATCTGTAATAGGCATACTAATTTCCATTAAAATATCGAAGCATTAATACAGGTTATAACAGGAAGTTGCTTGCCTCATTGATTCGAAAGATCAAAAAATTATTAGCTCACTAACGTTGCTTCTATTAACAATTTCATGCCAGTGCTAGGAAAAGCATAATTATTCAAGATTTAGTTCCTACTATAGCTAGATCAACCCAACAAAACTATGACAGGATTTTTTTAGGAATGATGTACTAGACGTAAACTGGTTTTGAGGTCAACGAATCAGAAACGGTTACTGTTGTCATGTGGCCGTCGACAAATACCACGTGCCAAGTCACCAATCAGAATTCTGATTCTATTTTAGTCTACTCCGCGTCTATTATTTAGTCTATACCTTAATGTATGTGATTTGCCAGTTACATCCCGGATCACCACGACTGACCTTGAGTCAAAATCTAAGCTCCGACTGACCTGCTTCTCGCAAGCTCCTCTTCATGTCCTGTCTTGAGTTCAGAAAAATCAATCAGCCTCTACTATATTTATATTTCAAAAAGACGACTTATATCCAGGCATACCGGCCCGCATCACACTATACAAAAATAGTAATTATACACAAACAAGCCAGAAAGTACCGTAAATAAAAGAGACTAAACAATAGACTGGGGACAAAATAATGATAGTAATAACTTGAAAAGTCAATTCCCACTTTTAGTGTATGTTGCGTTATAACAAATACTAAAGACGAAACAGATCTTCTTGAAGTTTCTATTATTAGACTACTCATGAAGAAACACCGGTAGAACCTTAGAGATAAATTCTGTCAACCATACTGTTTTCGTATTTACAATTCTACTTTTTCGATATGCTTTTATCCCGGACCAAGTTTTGCGTAATAATTACTATCCATAATGGAAATATAACCACTGAATTTGATTATCTTGACGGCTTGATCAAACGGGCAATAAGATGGTACCTTGAGGTAATCTATCAAGTTGTTTTCGGCAGGTTAGCAACAAAATATTCCTCACAGAATTCATAACTGAAAGGAGGTACATTGAAAACGAGTTTCCCTGTACCTCTATATTAAGTGACTGGAATGTTGGCTTGTTTTTCAGTAGTTCATGTAATCCCTCAGTCAATCGCCACTGCTGAAAGTTTTACCTTATCAGAGCTGTAGCAATGCGCAAAACAAATATTTATGGACTCTGTTCGAATGCATAATCAGCTGGAGTTACTTGTGCGATTCCCAGTGAAACTGAACAAAGAATTCTATCTACTCCACAGGAAGACCTTGAAGTAATGTTATTGTATTTCACGCGATTAGAATAGCATTAGAAAAATATATTTATTTATAGACTTAATACTATTATATATGCCTATCCGAAAAAGTAAAGTACTTGCCTTTAGGTATATATGTGGCTTTCAGAACTAGTGTCATTGAGAGCTATTGCGTATAACGAAAAGTTAGTTCATTCACTGTTTACCTTAAATTCTTCTAGTAGGATTTAGTTACCACTTTGATTGACTCCGGGTCAGTAAACTTACATTGGAAAAGTTCATGTTAAATATATCACCAGTAATTTTTCAATCATAAGCCGGATGACAAAAAAATAATTCCTCAGGTTACTACTACTAGTCCCATCTGTAGAAACTGAATTGCTTACATCAGATCAAGTAAATTAGGAACAAATGTTATTATAAAGTTAAGTAATTTATAGAACATACGTCAAATTATCTGTAAACTATGAGAATAATATATACAAGCACAAAAATACAAAGAATCTCGATACAAAAATAAATAAATCAGTAAATGTATAGTTTTCACGAGTTATAATTCTCTGTAAGATGAGATAACAAATCAAAGTCAACCGACTGTGCTATACTTTTAGCAATTTCTAAACTTATCAAGCAACGATATTTAGGGTTAGCCAAAGGGTCTAAATCAGATATAGCGTTAACCGAACTATTTGTTGTACTCAATCCAGTAGTAGATGAATTCCCAACAGACAAAGCCTGTGAACTTGGCGATAAAAGACCACAGGCTGTTAAACAGGCAATTTGACTCATTAAAATACTTGTGCATGGTACTTTTGCAAATTCATTTTGTACTAGGACATAGAATATTGCCAACAAGCGATCTAGGGTGAAGATTCGAGGGCCAGTAAACTCTGCTTGTGTCTAAGAAATACAAAGCAACATATCTTTAAACTTTCTACATGACAATGATGGTCATTTTATAGATAAATGTGACACGTTAAAAATCAAGTCAAATGCAGTAATAATAATATTAGTGTATCCACTTATCATTAGTCGAATGAAAATGTTTAACGATTAACGAGTCGTTTTGCAGATAATGAGTGAATTTTTATTTCGTGGGGGGGCTTGGGATGAAAATAATGACGTAAATACTTACTTATGCCTGTAGCCCCTCGTAAAGCGCAGCCCACCGACCATACATCTCCAAATTACTGTGTCCTATACACTTCTTTTCAGTTGTTTCCAAGTGCTATTCACTCTTTTGATGCCTGCCTCCAATCACCGCCACAATGGGTTCTTTGGCCTTCGTCTATTCTTTTTGCAATGAGGATTTCAAGTTATGACTTGTCTCGTGATCCAGTTTAATGATTTTCGCAATGTGCATCTTATACACCTCCAATGACTTTTCTTGATTTCCTCATCGACCGGAGGTTGGTCTGTTCTCTAACACTGTAGGTTTTTGCTGATGTCTGGTCAGCGGATCTGGAGTATCTTGTGCAGATTACTGTTCATAACTTCCTATACCTTTTAGATGATGTTTGTAGTTCTCCGTACAATGGTGCTGTTTTGATGGTTGTATAGAAGATTCTGATTTTCGTGTTGGCGCATGGTTGTTTTGAGTTTCATATACTCTTTAGTTGTAGGAATGTTCCCATTGCTTTGCCTATTCGTGCTTTCACAACTGCATCACGCTCCTCTTGTTTATCAATCATACTCTCTAGATATGTAAATGTCTCCACCTCTTCCAGAGCTTCTTTACTAAGAGTGATTAGGTTGGTTCTCTCTGTGTTGTATTTGAAGATCTTGCTTCTCCCGTTATATAAGTTGAGGCCTGTCGGTGTAGTCAGCTGCTACACTAACTATCTCCACCTGTATTTGTCGTTGTGCATGGGATAGAACAGCTAGGTCATCTATGGAATCGTTTAGCTGCACACAAGCCGTCCATTTTATTCCGTGATTTCCCCCAGATGTGGAGGTTTTCATATTCCAGTCGAACAGCAAAAACAGGTGGTGATAGTAAGTAGCTCTTTCTAACATCAGTTTCCACGTGGAATGGAATTGTAAGCTGTCCATCATGTACGACTGTACTGTAACTTATGCGAGTTCATAGCGCTTATGTAACCCAAAGTTTTGCCTAGTTTGATAAGGTTTGTACATTGAGAGCTCCAATACATTTCGCAGCACAGATCAAAATAACTTGGAGTATCGTTTAGTGAATTTAAATCTTTATGACTAGGTTAACATGGAGATTAGTATATCAATATTCATTTGTGATTGTAAAAAAATTGATTAGATAATCGTTCAAATATTATTGATAACCACATCGGTTGACATCATCAATCCATGAAGTCAGAGTGCATTTAAGGTTGATATCTTTTATGACCTCTACATCTGTCTACGGAGAAACGATGGTGCTTGATGTACTCATAAATAAACAGTGAACTGACTGATAAACTATCCATCTGCATGACATACACATTAGTGATCGTGAGAACTACTTTTCAAAATACTATCACAATTATGCAAACCAACAATAATGTTGTTGGCGTTAGTAATGAATTAGCGAAGAATAATAACTCACCTTGTATACTTCCTTTTCCTGTTTCTTTTTACGGATACTTAAACGTCCGGAGTTCTAAATAGAATAGTAGAAAAGGAAGCGAATAAAGCTGTATATATGTGGGTCAGGAAATAGGATTTGTAAATGAAAGTGCTTAGGAAATCTTTGAAGTACTAATAAAGACGAGTGTTTAGAGGTGAAAGTTTTAACATGAAGAAATTTAGGACAGGTCAAACATTTTGAATTAAATTTTTTACGACGAAAAGTAAAATCTGTAGTCACCTTTGTCAGGAGCTTTTTGTCCGATGAGCGGGGATTATGTGAAGCCATAAATGCAGCAATAAGTAAAAATCTAGTCAAATAAGGTAATTCCAAAAAATTTTGTCTCCCAGCGTTTTTCGTAGACAGAGAAGCTAAATTTGAATCCCCATAATGACGCAAATACAGAGTAGACAAAGACTTTTTGAGATATGGTTGAGCCAACTTCCATTGACCCCATTCATCGTCCGCGGCAACCAAGCCTTTATTTACAGGTTCATTAAAAGCATTCCAGTTTATCTATTGTTGTAAAGGTTAAAATTAAAGGTACTTACATTCATTAAATGAATGAGTTCACCAGCGTTACGACAAACAGGGAAGCACACTGTTAATAGTAAGTCAACAAACCTGTTGAAACGAGATTCAGATGCATTAGACGGTAACAAAGATGTAAGTAATCTTGCCAACTGGTCACGAGAATAACTTTCAACAGAGATAACATAAGGTTCAAAACTGAATGTCCCGAAATTAAACTTCTCCCATGGCAACCTAGTTACCAGGACAGTGAACAACAGTGGTGTGTGAAGACTGCCTAATTGATTTAGCTTTTCATTTACAGAAGCTCCAAGACCGATGATTAAGGGGAGGACTAGTGATTCCCCATCGCACAGTCTCTCAGCCTGTTCGAAAATTAACCCTACACAAGCTGAAAATATAGGAAACAACCGTTTATCTAAACTTACTTTGGTCATGAGTATTTCTAGCTCCAATAGCTAGCAAAATTTGACATAAGTTATCTATGAAACTGGAGGTATCTTCACAACTAATACATAAATCAGCTTCGGGCAGATAACGACACTTAATCGACTGTAAAATCAATTCAAGAAAATATCTTGATGAAGTAGCTCCACATGTCCCTTGGGTCCCCACAAAGCTTTCTAGGCAGCTAATTAACACCCATAACATTCCACAAGACTCTTCCAGAAGTTCGAATGTTGAGGACACTAAAACTGATTTGCCACAACCCGGAGGGCCTGTGATAACAAAGCATGTGGATAAAGGGTTTTTCTGTAATTATCCTCGATATCCAATCAAAGCTCATACGTACTTTACACATTAACGAAAACAAAAACTGTTGCTCCTTTTCACGACCGACCAACAGACGCCCTGTGTGAAACGTCATTGTCAACCAACGCAACGACTACTTTGATAAAACAGCTGAACTTTTCTAAAAAAGTAAAATATCATATGCAAGCTGTTTTTGGTTGCTGACATTTAACGGCATTTAAAATTTAATCAACTAACAATTTTGTAGAAAAATAGTCCTGACGACAAGCACTTCAAATTTTTTATTGTCGAAGACTGTATAATCTTGAACATAAATTCATCATGATTCATATTGATATAAAGTGATCGGACCACACAACAGCTTGAATGCTTCATGCGAAATATGAAGAGGCCATCTTCATACAAAGCACAATTCGTTAGTAATTATTTAGATAATAATCTAGACTACATTTTAATGAACTTGGGAAACGCTATATAAATGTCAACAGAAAACACATGACACCTGAGTTTAATTTCACAAGTTCTTTGAATGGTCAAATAACAGAATTCTAAACAGATGGTTTGTTTTATTTTAATGGATGGTGACCGGAGCACATTGTTGTTAAATAGCACTCTAGTTTGGAACACCAATAGAACTATTCAATTAGGATGACCAGGCTTCTAGTCATACGAAATTCTGAAAAGGTTAAAAACACTAGTAATCCATGTATGTTCATTGAAAGTTATACCTAACTACAGCGATAGATAGTGAATTGTGCAATAATCGCACCCTTCGATGAGTGGATATCTCACAAAATTGAGGGAAAATTGATGGGATGAGAAGCAAGAGGGACTAATATTAACACCAATGAAAATCTAGACATAACTCTCAGTCAAAACAATATGAGAAAAGATAAAAAGTTGAAAATTACGTCCAAAAATTAGGGGGGAATTAATGTGATACAGCTACGAAGAACGACTACGAACCACCACCCGTTTACAACCAGTGATGTGTTGAACAAGTTCTCATTTGAGAATGAGTATCCCCGAGACGGCTCAAGCCAACAATTAGAATTTCCATGATTAAGCTAATCACTTAATCCCTGACCGTTGCTGCTACCTTGACGTGGTACTGGCTGGAACAATCGTTCGTCAAGGCCCTAACATGCGATGAGATTGAAAGCAGCAAACCCAAGTTCCGAGGGCGAAGTCGTACTGCTGACTGTACAGAGAGGTGACGGCAGTAAGGTGTTCCCCTCAGACAACCAGTATAACAGCAATGCTACGTTACCACAAGGAAGGATGGGGTTAGGAAAGATCGACCCTAAAAATGCACACCTCGCCTTATCCAACGGATATCCATCTCCGGCGGTAAGGACCCAACAAGTACGGAGCTAACACGAAAAATGCACACAAAAAGATCGTGTGTAACCGGTCTCGAGCATTTGTTCCTTGGACACTGCGGTCACGCTCTCAGGTCACTAAGACTACTTCTAATCCAATTTCCTTTTCAGGTACCTCTAGAAGAGCCCTTCCACGATGTGGGAAACCGGGAAGTGACAACCGCATTTATACCTCTAACAGAACTCCAGATCACTGTACCACTTAACCTGCCTGCTCATATTTCTATTCAACACACCTATCGCCCGGTATTTCAAGTGAATTGACCAATACGCCCGACTATATTGTCTTCTGCAATGGTTGAGCACTTATGCGAGTCACCATTGAAACGTTCTGGAACTGAATGTAAAAGATGTTAACCATTGACGCTGAAAGAACTTAAAGCACTCGACACTTCCTCAGCGGTGGTGGGATTCAAAGAAGTCGAAGTATTAGTGGTTTCAGTAACATTAATTGAACCTATATTTGGAACTTAATATCGACTGGGATTATGGTCGACGTCATCTAATTCACATAACTATTTGTATTTTATTGGCATTTTCTCTACTTAATATAAATGTATACGACAAACTTATCCTATTAATCAGTATTAAATTGTAGTGTTGGTTGCATGAAAGGGATAAATGGTAACAGTTCATCAAAAATAGGTCTATGTGGAATCTGTAAATGAGTATAGTATATGCGGAGTGATTTGAATTATACTTAAGAGGGAACAAAGTAAACTCTCACGATATTCCTTGATTTTTCAATATTGCCCTCACACTTGGTGCGATGTTTAGCAAGATTGACAAACTGACTGAGTACATAAGCTCATCCATGGGTGTGACGGACAGGCACAACGACAGCAGATACTTCAGATTTCTCATTCCCACTGAAAACGTGAGGAAATGCGTACTCGGAGTTGCTTTAGAGGAGCACACGTTTCGTGACCTGTCCATAAGTAGTGGCAGGTGTTTATAAAATTTCAAGTGACCAGATTATCCGAGATCATAAGTGATGATCATAGGAAATCAACCAGATCACGTATAGCTTACGTGCTGACGCCGGGAATAGCAATTACTTATACCTTACTTGGGGCTAAAAGTAAAACAGGTATCGGCAATTACATATTCTACAAGACGATTCAAAGTAAGTTCACATCAGTTTTAATATATTCATAGATGTTCTGCGTTCACTTTTTCGAAGTGCAACCTATCCAGAGAACCAAATAATACAAGCCATGGATGTTGCGAGTCACGTTTTCTTACACAACGCAAGAGATAAAGTAAGTAAGCGTGGATGGAGATCCAAAGAAAGGGTGGGCTAAATGCACTTTAGACCTGTGATTAAATACCGGTTTCTGTTTTTATGTTAGTTTCTGGTAAACATTTAAACTGAAATTATTCCTTGTCCATTTTATTTTCGGCTGACTTCGCAGGTGTTAGCAGACTTAAGTTTTTTATTCAGAAAACATTAATGCTATACCATTAGTACATAATCAACCTTTCACATGGCATTATAGATTAATACGTTGGATGACTGCTATGACATTTGTTTGTTTACTATAAGCAATTTGGCTGTTTTGAGACTGTTTATAATGCTGAAGAGAAACTTTTCTTAGTTTTGTAGAACACCGAATGGAAGTTCAGCATCAAACTGATGTACTTATCCAAAAATGCAAGAGCGATCGCTAAGAATTGTTACCACCTGTGGTTTAATGGATTTGGAACTGCGTTAATTATGCAAAGTAAACTATTAAAAAATGGAATAGATGTGTGGGAACTTTAAGGTAACTATTATTAAATCGCCAGGCTTTCCTTTGTAATCGGTAATTTTGCAGATTTCCGAATGCGGTATTTGGGATAACTAGAAATACCGAACAATGTCTTTAAAATGCGATAAAGAAATGGGATTGGACCGAAGAACGTAAACAGGTTTCCGAAGATTTTAGAGAAAACTGGGGAAGAACGTGAAATTTTCGGGAATTTGTGCCATTTTCTCAAAATTTTCTATGGCGGCTTCCCCGAAATATGGAGGTTAGGTAAATTTGCTTTGAAGTGACGAACAGCTAGTTTGTTGAAGACCGATTGATGCAAAATAAAACGGATGTAGGAATAACAGAGAAAACTGAGGAAAAGACAGTGTCACAATGCCACATAGACATTAATTGTCGAAGCATTTATGACTATGTCAGAGCCTGAGTATGAAATTATGTAATAATGCTTAGCTATACGACAATAAACTTGAAACCAGTAAATGAACACAGAAATGTTAATCAAGTGAGGAACTGAAGCAATTAATATTTGTTCACAAATATAAAAGACGTACATACTCGTTCCGCAAGTTTCGAATATCCTCTACTCTTAAGGAGAAAGGGATAGAGGTTGATTTTAACAAATTGATAAAAAACTAAGAGTCATTTATACGAAAAGAATACAACATATTATCAATATATTTACGGATCACAAAACAAACTTCTGTTTGATATACTACATTAGACATCACCAATGTTGTTGTTCTGTTCTTGGGGTGAAATCTGTGCTTTATGCCTTGATCCGGTCATCTATAAACATATTAAGAATGTAACTAAAGACTTATTTACGAGTGTGTATGTACATTAAATTGCTGTCGACAACTTAATCTAGTTCGTGCAACAATGATTTCACGTTTCTCTTTGATTTTAATTGATGAAGAGAGACGATTTGGAGACGATTAGAACCTAGTTGTTCTACCCCGTGCAGAACGACAAATACAGGTGGAGATAGTTAGTGTAGCAGCTGACTACACCGACAGGCCTCAACTTATATAACGGGAGGAGCAAGATCTTCAAATACAACACAGAGAGAACCAACCTAATCACTCTTAGTAAAGAAGCTCTGGAAGAGGTGGAGACATTTATATATCTAGAGAGTATGATTGATAAACAAGAGGAGCGTGATGCAGTTGTGAAAGCACGAATAGGCAAAGCAATTGGAGCATTATTACAGATAGAGTGTTAAGAGTTCGTCAGCGAACACTGTGGCATATTTGTCTGGTTTTACTGGATACTATGTCGTACTAAGCACTACAGCCAATTCATCATTCATCGGTTGGATACCCATTAACAGTCGATAATGTAATATTAGATTAGAAAATTACATCGAAGTGCGAAGATATCCTTTCGAAAAACAATATCATTCACTGTCTTCTCAAAGTTCCCATAGATTGCAGACTGGACGCGATGAATGATGAGTTTTATCACCAGTTAACAGTTCTTCTGCAAAACGTGTGTTCGACGGACATTGCAGTACTGGCCACAGACTCAAATCTCTCAGGTTGCGAGGTGCAAACTTGTTTTCTTTCTGGTTGATCCTGTCTTGACCTTCCACCAAAAGTTAGAACTTCGACATACTTATTACAGACAAACAATCCTAGTGTTCTTCAATTCTACGGACTCCTGCGATTCGTTCAACAAGCCTGTTTTTGGAGACTTTCAATTACAGAAGGTTTCGCAGCTTTATATCTGACTTCAGTTAGTTTGCATGCTGATACTGTAGAGGTAAATAAATCCCCAAAATAAATAGCCCTGTAAGTTTTCGACATTGGATGCTGACCATATTTTTTAGTGGACTCGTCTAGCTGAAGGCGCTCGGTCAGGCATCCGCACCAGATCACGTGTGGTTACGCCGTGCTCAACATCAACCGTGATCGCTAGTCAGATTAGATCAGAGAATTCCGATATTTTGGTTATCGCCAAATACACTCTTCCGATCTCCTCGACTCTGTCTTTTGATTTCTCTCGGTGGGTACAAATCATATTAGGTATTACTGGTAGAAGCGTTGTCAAACACTGAATACCTGTGTCATCTTCAGTACTACTGAAGTATACAAGCCGCCAACTTTAGTATTGAAGATGCCACAGGTATTCAGAATTTGACAACTCTCTAACCAGTAACACATTCTATATGAAGCGTACCCACCAAGTGAAATCAAAAGACAGAGGTGAGGAGGTTCGAAGGCACACTTGATAGGCTATCAATATATCGAGGATCGTCTGATCTAATCTGGCTAGCGATTGCAGGGGATGTTGAGCATGGCGTTCTCACTCGTGATCTGGTACGGATGCCTGACCGAGCGCCTTCAACTAGGTGAGTCCATTAAAACATGTGGTCAGCATCCAATGTCGAAAATTTACAGGGTTATTTATATTGTTGATTTATTTACCGCTACAGTATATAATTACCAACCTATGTCGCGCTAGAGATCTGAATAGAATAAGCTATTTACGAGAAATTATAAGTACGTATATTTCACATATTCATTGATTCGAAGAGACAATCAGAGAAACGAAACAAAGAAAGCGAAGGAAAACGAAGTGACGCGCGATAAAGAAGGTGAGTCTGACAACAAGTTTTGAACATGTGTGGCCCAGTGTATATAATCAGATAGAAATACGTTATAAACACGTCATTAGTAAGCAAGCGATTAACACATATACAATCATATAAAAACAGTCAGAGTTAATAAGCGAATAACCAACAAAGCCAAAATGCCGCTTGGGGTGAATAAATAAATCAGTCTGTAAAGAAGCTAGAATTACTTATCCACGCTTGTCAGAGTACCAGCCACTACAGAGGGTGTGCCTGAAAAAGCCCTGTATATAAACACATCAAGCAGAATGAGGACATACAACCTCTTCTCTCCACTTCTAAACTCAAGCAGTGGGTTTAGACTGATTTGCACAATCTCACCATCCCTCTTTAAATTTTTCACCGATGACATTCTAGCAACAGATTTGATGGATGTAGACAGTGGTGATGTAGACCTGTTGTATGTAGAAGGAATTTTCGACCCTGAATATGTGTGGTGATACCTAAGCCATGCAATCAGCATATAATCAGTTGGCAATCGGTGTCCTAGGTATGGAATGTCCTATGTGCCGTCAAAGTGCAAGACTCTTCCACAATTCTGACAGGACCCTGAACATGCCCTCACTCTGGATAGTGAGCAGGTAAAAGTAGTCGAGATATTAGTGTATCTGGGTGGCTGAGTAAGTGCTCGTGGCGTCATGTGTGATGAGGTCAATTAACGTATAGTGAAATCTAGAGTGGTTCGTGAAAATATGCACCATCTCTCGCGCCTTCATGATGTCAGTCTATCCGTAGAAGGTTGGACCTATACTGAGCCTTGAGAGAAGTTTTTCTCATGAAACCTGACCTTTCCGGGTTGAGGATGCTTGACGACTCTCTATGTTTGATCATCGTTGTCACCGACAGACCACTGACATTCAGTGACATCGCCATGTTAGTAATACATAGGTCTGGTAAAGTCTGTTTGGATACAGCAATGATAATTAAATAGGTGTCACCATCTTAAAGCACCTACTGAGGTCTCTCGAACTACTACGAATGTCGTCCCAGAGAATTCCATGCCGTGCGTAATTTGCAGAATTTGAGACCGGTTGGAAAATGTGGAGAGATGATCAGTGTATGACATAGTGTCATGGTATGAGATGAAGCTTTACAGGAATAGGTTCTTTTAGACCTTCACGACTCCCTGGTTGGGGTTCTAGAGTCGGTACAACGTAGTGGCCTGGAATGTTATCAAATATGGCGCAAACTAGGAGTCAGTAGCGACCCCATGGTAACTATTTCATACTTTCCTCATGAAAGTGAACGCAACTTTTTTAAATGAAAGAATTCGTTTTGATTGTATTTTTCTTCACTAAACTGTTTCTCTCAATATTATTATTTCACTCGCGTACAATAATTTCTGCTCATTGTTGTTCTTCCGTTTATTACATGCACTTTATATTTGTAGCGTGGTGTCGAGTTGAGGTTAACTATGAGCACCGCTACCAAGAAACACGTGCCAAATAAATCAGAAGGCGAAGGTTGAACGTAAACAAAGAAACCCAGAATATCCCTGAGAAGCCGGATACCAGAAGGCAATTAATGGACCAAGTCGAGATATATATTTGCTGGCGATCTCGTAGCATCGAAAAGATACCGAGATCGTGCCAGGATACAAGCTTGGTTACAGAACGTAACCGAATTCGCGCGAAGTTACAATCAAAGTGTGTGTATAAGAATGGAAGTACAAAATAGCTGTCATTAGCACAGTCAAACAAAAGCACGTTAAAACAAACACTGGTACAGTTGGTTATAATAATAATTGTTTTTATTAAACCAGTCGTGTTATCGTTATAAATGTGAGTCACTACATATTCTCTACCTATTCACAACCTCGATGTTTGTGTGTGTAACATATGTGTTTGTTGCCCCTTGGTACCAATGTTTATGTGCTCAAATAAATAAAGTAAATAAGAAAACTAACTCATTTAATGGTGTCAGGAAGTGTACAATAATAGTGTGTACTGAAATGTTCCTCTGATAAACGTACGAATAACAGTTTAAGTACTTACATATCAGCTATTTAATGGCACACAATATTTGTAAAAGCATCTATGACTTAATTAAGGTGCTGTGATCGCTCTTCACTAAAATTTTCATCATAAACTGGATATACAGAAAACTGGGAGGATCTGAACAATATGTGAACTTGCTGTGTAATATTGACGTGTGAAACGACATACCTGAAGTAACAAGATTTGTAAAATGTTACTCCATTAAAGTTGAAAGTCTTAGTTTATATGAAAGTTGGCTGTTCATTAAAAAATTGGAACTACGTTTTTTATTGGTCTAAGTGTAAGTGTTGCAAGAGTACACCGAAACACAATTTCACACCCTCGAAGATATATTTCTCACAGATTACGTGTCATTTCTTCGAAAACTTTGTCCACTGACTGTTGGAAATTGATATGACGGTAAGAAAAGTCAAAATTCGATTGATTTACTAATTATAAATTTTGTTCAACATTACTTCTGTTTTGATGCAGTGTGATGATTATTCAGTGTAGTATTGGTTTTGTTTTACCGTATTTTATTCTGTATAACACACTATATTCTTGCTTTAAAAGTTGACATGAACGATACTCAGTCTGTGATTTGTTATAACTCCAAGTATTTTTCATATATGTGATTTCATCCAAATTATCGATTAAAGTGTGTGTACAATCAATATATAAATGAGTATATTGTCGACTAGAGTCGTCGTTGTGTTTTGGAGGTTAATAAATTTTCACTTATACTAGTCTTTGTGTCCTTACTTTCGCGTCGTGGGAATTGCAGAGGTCCCTCATTTCGAGTATAAGTGATAAGGGTTTCGGACACAACAAATCATGGACGTCCAGATATAACAAGTAGCGTTCAATCCACAAGACTTATCAGTTGCGACGTGGATTTCGGAAAAAATTGACAAGACATATCAGAAATAGATGCGCATGATAATTTTTTATTATTATGTATAGTGAATCGTTACGAAATTTAAAGTTTTACTGCGTTTGTTGAAAGTAGACTTTGTTCGAATTT